GGCTTCCTTCTGTTCTGTAGTTTTCATGCTGCCCGGCCCACACCCTACCACGCTGAAGGGCCACCCTCAGCTTGACAGCGGGGACGGGCCTCTCTGAGCCAGAGAGCAGGTGCTATATCAGGCCCACGCCTCCTCAGCGAGTCCTTCCGGTCAAGGACATCACCATCTGCTCTTGGGCTCTGGGTCCCAGCTCCCGGAAGTCCCCCCTGAGGAGAAGGAGAAAGTAGCGCGGGCTGAGCGTGCCTGGTCCTGTCCTGAGGCTGACAGCATTCCACTGAGGCCTCCCCGCACTCCCAGGACAGATGCCCTCTTACTAGCACCCCATTTTACAGATCGGAGAACTGAGGCACAGAGAGGTTACGTAAACGGCCTACTAGAGGTTGAATTATGTTCCTCTAAAAGCTAAGTTGAAATCCTAACCCCCCAGTACCTCAGAATGTGATCTTTTCTGGAAAGACAGTGGCTACAGATGTAATTAGCTAAGATGAGGTCAGACGAGAGTAGGAGGGGCTCTTAATCCAATATGACTGGTGTCCTCATGAGGTGCCGAGGGAAGGAGACAGAAAGTGGAGGGAGTGATGTGGCCACAGCCCCCAGGAGCTGGAAGAGGCAAGGAAGCACCCTCCCCTACAGCCTTTATTTTTTTTAAAGATTTTATTTGTTTATTTGACAGAGAGAGACACAGCGAGAGAGGGAACACAAGCAGGGGGAGTGGGAGAGGGAGAAGCAGGCTTCCCGCTGAGCAGGGAGCCCGATGCGGGGCTCGATCCCAGGACCCTGGGATGATGACCTGAGCCGAAGGCAGATGCTTAACAGACTAAGCCACCCAGGCGCCCCTCCCCTAGAGCCTTTAGAGGAGCAAGGCCCTGCCAACACCTTGAATTTGGACTTCTGGCCTCCAAAACAGAATATATTTCTGTTGTTGTGAGACGCCCAGTTTTGGGTTCTGTGTTACTGCATCCCTAGAAGACTAACACACTACCCAAGGTCATCTGGCTAGTCCATGGCAAACCAGAGTGTGACACCAGGCAGCTGGGCTCCCTGCGTCCACGGTGCAAAGCACACCCCTCTCTGAGGGGCCACAGGGGTGATTTGGAGAGATGGCTGCGGGCCCCAAAGGAGGGAGGGTCAGATGGTGTCATCTGCTGGGAGCTGAGCACGCTCTCTCCTGCATCATGAGGAGGGGACAGCCAGGTTACAGCGGGCAAGGGAGACGCCCCCAGCAAGATACAAGGACCACCAAGGGAGAAAGAGGGCTCTTGGAATACACTAAGCACGTTCCTACCTCAGGGCCTTTGCGTGTGCTGTCTCCTCTGTCTGGGGCACACCTCCCTCTTTCATTCATTCAAAAATATCCACTGAGCACCTGCTGGGCACCAGGCACAGCTGGGATACAGCCATGAACCAGAGACCACTGCCATGGACTAGCATGCCCGCTCGAATGTCACGGCCTCCTCCTCGAGACGCCTCCCACAGCGGCCCCCCACCCTCACCCCCCTCACTTCATCTTCCTTTATTCTCTTTGAGGCATTTTCCGCTATCTGAAGTCCTCCTGCCTCCTTGCCATTTGCGGTCCCCTCTCTGTACCCCCATTCCACTCTGAGCTCCATGGCGGTGTCCTTAGCTTCAGCACCGTCCCTGGCCCAGAAGGGCTGCTCAATAAACCTTTGCTGAGTGACAACCAGGTGGCTGCACAATGGACGGAAGGTGGGGCCCAAAGCCACGGTGGAAGAAGAATCACGGCCCTCTCTGGTTTACAAGCCCTTTCAAAGCTGCCTGAAGAACCCCATGAAGAAAGCAGTGGGGAGAGCTCCTGGTAAGGAGCCCCATTCCTAGACAAAGAAACTGAGGTCAGAGGGGTTAAGAGCCGTGGCCCAGGTCACGCGGGGAGTGGGTGGCCCTCCCCAGCGCACCTCAGTCCCCTGGGGAGGCAGCGCACGGCATCAGCAGTCACCTCCGCCTCCTCCAGCCCCCAGTCATTCGGTACCAGGCAAATCCCACCCTCTCCAGACGCAATGCAGGCGGCCCCAGCCATTCATCTTCTATTTACCAGGCACCTCTCTAAGCGCAGGGAAAGGGCCCTGAACAAGATGGGCACCGTCCTGGCCCGTCCATGGGGCTGCCCCTCTTTGGGAAGAGGGGCAGATAATAAGCTGATACACAAATGAATAAATTAGGTGAGCGAGAAGGTGGCTAACGCCCTGAGAAAAATTAAGCAAGGTGATATCCAGTGAGTGAGAAATTAGCAGCTAATTAGCCTCATCTCAGACCCTGGAGGAAGAAGGTGAGGACAGAGCTAGTGGAGAAACTCTCCAGGACACCGAACAGCACCGAAAAGCACAGTCCACTTGACCCCACCACGGGAGCAGGGGCCGAGTGGCTCAACGAGAGGAGAGGGCACTGGGCTGAGAACGAGGAGGCGCCTCAGACCTCCACCCAGTTCTTAGGCAGTACAGGACCTCAGGAAGCCGTGACTCCCCTTAGGACCCCATAGTCTCCCTCTGGACAGTGGGTGTGGGACATGACCATCCTCTTCTCCAGCTGCTGCCTGCCAAGATCCTAGGGTGACCCAGCCTCCTGGCTCCCAAGGAGCCCATCCTGTGTCCTGCAGGGGGGCTGGGCAGGACAGGAGGGGATCCTGCCCCCTTTCTGAGGCCAATTCTCCAAAGGAGAGGGGGCTGGATTCCTGAAATGATTGCCCCTGATCCAGCAGCCCCTGTAAGTGTTGGGGGTTGCGGGGGGAGAAAGAGGGGGGAGTTCCATCGGGCAGCTGGGACCCTGGCCCTAGGCTGAGGGCTTCTCAGTAGGGGACCTTGCCTGGGGACAATGCTCCCTGCTCTGACAGGAGTGAAGGAATTCTTAGAGAATGTTCTTCTGTTTTCTGTCACTCCTTAGAGCCCTGTGAGGCCAGCCCAAGGTGCAGGGAATGGGAACACAATCGGATCTATCATCCCTCATGGTGTCCTCCTCACTGGGGTAGAACCTTCCCACTCAGGACACTGCACTTTGAACAGTCCAGAAGGCCTCTGAGGCTCTTCTGTCCAAGGAGGATGCAGGAGAGGGAGGAGCAGGCTGGCCTGAGAAAATGCCAGAAGGAATCCTAAATGCCCTCCTCGGGCTTATGCGGATTCCCAGGAACAACGATACTGACAGTTAACAGTGACCCAGTGCTTGTCACCAGACCAGTCCCAATACTGGCACGTGAGCCCTTTGTCACCTAATGTAATCCTCACAACTCCCTTTAAATAAATACACAATTACCCTAAAAGATTACAAAGGTATACAGAGTATTGTTCTTACTACTTTACAGGTATAGAAACTGAGGCTCTATCCCTGGCCCTCTTTTGTCCCTGAGTTTTAAAATTTTCACCGCCCCTGGGAGGGGGGTACCTTGAAACACCACACAGGCCATTCATGAAGCGCGCCCCACTTTGCAGAACCCCTGTGCCCGGCTGCAGCCTCCCAGCAGCCCTATAAACTGGAATGTGTCATAGTTTGCTTCATTTTACAGATGGAAAAACCCCTGAGCCCAGTGAGTGAGAAGGCACACAGACAGGAAGTAGCAGAGGGCAAGGAGAATCCAAGTGTCAACATTCTCAGTCCCTGGTTCTTTGCATGGCCAGACCTGCCTGGGGCGGGGGAGGGGGGCGGGGGGGGGGGCGGGGGGGATTGACCCCTCCCACCGCGGCCAGCGAGGCTGCCTGCCTGGAGCAATACCAGAGCACACTGGGCCCTCCACCAGAGGGATTGCAATAAAACCAACCACTCCTTTATGTTTGCACCCAGCTTCCAGGCGCACAGGTCCTTGACCATCAGCCCATTTTACAGATAAGCACGGGGAGGCTCCGGCGGTGGGGTGGGTAGTGGCCCCGCAGCTCACCGCTGGGTGAACGCTCAGACCTAGGTCTCCCAAAGGGGCTCAGCAAGACTGGCCACAGACAGGCTGCAGCTGCTGAAGGTTACAAAGGGGTTCCTCTCCCCAGTTACTGAAGCTATGGGTACCCCAAGGAACAGGAAAAGCACTCCACCCATGGGTGAGAGCCCACACCCCTAAGGCAAGCAAAAACTAAGGGCAGACAAAACAAAGGGCGCTCATAATTCTCCCAGATCCCTCGCCGGTGTCACTCTCCCCAAATACAGAACAGGGCTGGGAGAATCACAGGCAGCAGGATGAGCCCTCAACTGGCTACCAGAGCCCTGGGGTCCAGTTCCCACTGGTGATCTTGGGCAAATCACAGCCCCCTTCCAAGGAGCCCCTTTCCAAGGCGCTTGTCCAAGAAGGGGGGGGGGGCGGAGGGCGGGGCTGAGGGATGGGATGGGATGGGAAGAGGGGAGTAAGACACCTCTAGTCTCAGAAAAGCAGGGCTGCAGGGAAACGGAAAGGAATCAGGAGCTTCGCCCTTCCTCTCTCCCCATGTCCCCCCACCCCACCCCCTTAACCACAAAGGTGCCAGACAGCTTTTCGAAAAAACTAGTTTGCAAACACACTTCGACTTCTGGGAAGCTGCCCAGCTCCACTCCCTCCCTTCCCTCTTCCTGGGCTGGGAGCTGGCTCTCCGGCAGGGCGCTGGGGCGGGAGGACTGGGGGTTGACAGCAGGGTGCGGGGGTGCCAGGGGCCATCCCGACCCCAAGTCTTCGGCAGCTGCGACGGTGTCGAGGACTCTACCTTCCGGACGCCCCCAGGCTCCCGGGGAAGGCAGGAGAGTCCCTAAACAGCTGGGCTCGAACCCCGAGTGGCGCCGCCCTCCTCCCGCACCCTCCCCACGTTGCCCCGGGACGCAGCCGGAGCGCCCCCGCGTGGCCGGGTCGCAGCTGAGTCACCCAAGCGCCCGAGCGTGGGTGCGCGCGGGTGGCGGGGGCTCGGGGCGCCACGGCCCGCGAGGCGGAACCCAGCTTCCTTCCAGCCCGCCACCGGCGCCAGAAGCCGAGCCCCAAGGCCGAACTTAGCGCTCGCGCCAGGGCGCCCCGCCCGCCCCCGGCCCGCCCGGGCCCCACTCACCGCGGGTCCCGCGGGCGCCGCCGCCCTCACGGCGCGGCCGCCGCTGCCGCTGCCCGCGCTCCGGGCCGCCGGGGCATCCCGGGGCGCTCCCCTGCTCGGCGGGGCCCGCAGGCGCGGGGCGGGCTCAGGGCGCTGTCCGCGCGGCCCTCGCCAGCTCGCGTGCGCTCGCAGCCGCTCGGGGTCCGGCGCTCCTCCGGGCCGGGCGGGCGGTGGCGGTGGCGGCGGCGGCGGCGGCGGCGGCGGCGGCTCGGGCTCCTCCCTCCGGCCGAGAGGGGGCGGGGTGGGGAGGGAGGTGGGGAGGCGAGGCGGGCGCTTCCTGGAGGGGCGAGCGCTCCCCACGGGCGGAGCGGGGGCGCTGTCCCGCTCGCCGCCCGCAGCCCGCCGCCCGCCGCTCCGAGTCTGTGGCCGGCGCGCCCTAGCGCTCGGGGCTCTCGGCGCCGCGGGGGCCGAACGCCCGGGGTCGGAACCCGAGGGTCCGAACGCTCGAGGCCGGAATCCGAGGGTCCGAACGCTCGAGGCTGGGACTCCGCGGATCGGAGCGCCGCTGGTGCGCACCCTCCCTGGCCGGCCTCGCCGGAGCCGCGGGCACCTCCGAGTTCCGAGCACCGTGCGCTCAGGGCCGCGGATGCGGGAACCGAGGGGTGGGCTCAGCCCGGGGCCTGCGGGGACCCCAGCGCGCCGCCTGCGGCCTCGACCCCCAGGGCTGCGCTCTGCGCCCTCGGGGGGCACACCGCAGGGCTAGGTTCTGGGCCGCATTGAGCAGCACTAGGACCGCAGTGTCTCTCTCCTCCCCCCCCCCCGCCCCTTCCGTAGTAAAAGAGCTCGGCATTTTCTTGTCGCCAGACACTGGGAAGATGACACATATTTCTCTGGCAGAGACGATAAGATAAAGACCGTTTCAACAGTGCCTGGGGCTAATTAGCGGGAGCATAATTAAGGGGGTCTTGAGGCCCTGGCACCGAGCCCCACCCCCCTTTCTGAGAAGGCCTTCTTTTACCCTAGAAGAAGCACCAATCCTTAAGAAATGCATCTGTCGCCGGGCGCTCCTGCTGCAGACCACTCATTGGTATTTATGTGCACCCCCCACCCCCAATTCATGGCCTCGGACGGCTGAGCCTCATTTAACCAGATTGTGGGAGATCTCGCGGCCACGTCCAAAGCCCTTGGCCCTGCGGCTCAAGGACCGGGCGCTTGGGTTGTGGGTTTTCCATTCCAGGTAGGAGAGGGTTAACTAGGAGACTCACTCGGCAGCCTGTGAACCTCCCTCCAGTCTGAGTCACAAGCACTTTGCAGCCTTAGAGGGGCGGCCACTAAGAAACCCCAGGGCTCTGAGCTTTGTTCTTTGCCTGCCTGTCCCCCATCCATCCTTCCTTTCTCCAAGCTCTCCTCACCTTTCCTCCACCGAAGTCTTCAAAGCCCTCAGCCCAGCTGTGGTGCAAATCAATCTATAGGCATACTTAGACCCAGCTCCAACCCCACCTCCTCCAGGAAGCTTTCCTGATTGATCTGGCCCCCAGCATCCCTTTCCTCTCCTTGCTTCAGAACCACAGGAGGGGCAGGTCCTGGGATGAACAATGGTGAACCCAAGCACAGTCCCTCCCCTCAAGTTCGCACCTCTCTGGAGCAAGCCCATGTCCCAGGTAATTGTATTATTTTGTGAAAAGTGAAAAAGTTGGAGGTGGGGTGGCACAGAAGACCCAACTCAGCCATGGAAGTCAGACTTCCTCTAGGAGCCCTGAAGGATGAGGTAGTTGGGCCTGCCCAGGGTGAAGAAGATCCTGGATCCCTGGCCAAAGGGACAGAATATAATAAAGGTCAGGGAGCAGAGCAATTCCACTCCTAAGTAGCTGCCCAAGGGAAATGAAAGCCTATGTCCAAACGAAAACTCCTACACAAATGTTTGTTCACTGTAGCATGGTTCAGAATTGCCAAAAACTGGGGACAACTCAAATGCCCATTAAGCAATGAATGGATAAACAAAATGTGGTCTATCCATACCATGGAATATTATTCAGTCATGGAAAGGTGTGGCGTGCCTAGGATCTGGACAAATTTTGGAACCATGATGCTAAGTGAAAGGAGCCAGTCACAAAAGACCACATATTGTGTGATTCCATTTCTATGAAATGTCCACAGTAGACAAGTCCACAGACACAGAAGGCAGCTTAGTGGCTCTCTTGGCCTGGGAGGAGAGATTGGGGAGTGATTGCTATTAATGTGGGGTTTTGAGCGCCTGGGGGGCTCAGTCAGTTAAGCGTCTGCCTTCGGCTCAGGTCATGATCCCAGGGTCCCCGGATGGAGCCCTGCAGTCGGGCTCCCTGCTCAGTGGGAAGTCTGCTTCTCCCTCTGCCCTCCCCGCTGCTCATGTTCTCTTTCTCACAAAAATAAATAAAATCTTTAAAAAAAAATAAGGGGTTTCTTGGGAGATGATTAAAAATGTCCTGAAAGTAGATGATAGCAGTGTTTGCAGACTCTAGGTACACTCAGCCCATTGACTTGTATACTTTAAAGGGGTGAACATTCTATCTCAAGAAAGCTGTCTAAAACAAAGTCAGGGATCAGGAGAGGCCAGAGGTCAATTGATGAAGGCCAAGTGTCCACCGTGTGTTGATTCTACACTCTGTCCTTGATCCACACACAATGCAAGGCTGTTATAGCAAAATGTTGAAGGGAGTCTTTCCTCGCCCTGGTAGAGATCTCTCTGCAAAACCAGAAGGCCTCGATTTCCTGAAATAGGTCTATATTGTGTGTGTGTGTGTGTGTGTGTGTGTATAAAGCACCTGCCGTCTGGGTGTTTGTGTCCACAGTTCAGGCTGTCTGGACAGACAGATGAGAATAACCAGGGTCGCCTATATACTTCAGCGTGCTTGTGAATTAAAGACACTCCAAAAGAGCGTGGTGTACCAAGCCCTGGCTGGCCTCAGGCATGCATGAGGGGGTTGAGGATGGAGAGGGTCCTGGTTATTGATGCCACATCCCACAAATCACCCCAAATCTTATTATCTATCTCTCAAGGCTCTGGGGGCGGGTCACCTGAGCTCAGCTGGGATGGTTCCTGTTTAGGATTTCTCAAACAGTTGCAGTCAGACCCTAACAGAGGCTGGAGTTCTCTAGAAGGCCTACGTCTGGCCGTTGAAGCGGACTGTCAGCTGGGACCTCAGCTGGAGTTGTCCACTGGAACACCTATCCATGACCATTCAGGTGGCCTGGGCTTCCTCAGAATATGGCAGCTGGTTTCCAAGAGTGAGCAGCATCCCAAGAGAACCACGTGGAAGCCTTGTTATCTTTTATAGAACCTTAGCCTTGGAAGTCATAAGCTGTCACTTCTGTAGTTACCAGCTCACTCCATGGGCCCGCCCCTCAGTGAGAGGACTGTCACTGTCATGGGAGATATGGTGGTGGCCATCTTCGGAGAATACCGTCTGCCTCAGGGAGTTGATATGGAGATGTACCCATGATGGAGACATCCCCTCAAGAATCTCCAGATTTCAGGCATGGAGTCGTGGCTCTGGGTTTGAATCCCAGTCGCTCTAGTTACTGCCTGGGTGAGATCACTCAATCCTCTGGGCCTCAGTCTCCTCCTCAGTAAAATGGAAGGATAGATTTAGTATCTGCTTCTTGGGATGCTTGTGGGAATTCAGCGAGACGCTTATGTGGTTGGAATAGTACCAAGCACACCTAGACACTAGGACTATCTTTAAATTCCAGAGTTGTGGTCGCTGTGATGCAGGGATGCCCCCTTCTAGGGTCAGGATGCCCAGGCACCCCCTGCCCTTCCAGTCAGCCCCAGACACCTCCATCGGCCCCAACCTTGTGCTGAAATATTCGTGGGGCGGTGGGGACCGCAGTTGCAGCCCAGGAAACTGGATGCTTCTGTCCTAGGCACTCAACCTGGGGACCCCAGTTGGCCTTTGTTCTCTAGTGAAAGTGCCTTTTCTGTCGCCTCTTCCTCAGGGCAAGGGTCACTTTCTGGGCAGCCAGGGCAGGGCTGGAATTTGTGCGGGATGAGCAACAAGGTACAGTTTCCCAGGGCCAGGGCCAGGGCCAGGGCCAGGGAGGACTCCAGTTCTAGAGGCTGGGAGACACTCGGGCTGGGGGCAGGGTGCTTCACTGGCTGCGGAGGCTGCCCGCCCGGGCCGGGAGGCAGACCAGTTGTCCCCAGAACTTCCTGAGACCAGCCCTGGGAGGATCTTTACCAAGGCAGCCGTGCAAGGTCTTTTCCTGCAAGTTCGGGGATGTGTCCAGAGGGTGTGTCCAGCTCTGGCTGGGGTGGGGCCACCGCCCTCTGGTCTGGCCTTGGCCTTTGCAGGGGGGTTTGGGGCAGGAGCAGTGCTAGGTAGAACGCACAGCCCTCCAGACTTGGTGCGGGGGACTCTCTGAAGAATGCACAGACCTGCAGACCAGTTAAATCCCCAGCCAGGACCACCTCAACTTCCTTCCTGTTCCATGATTGGAATTGAAGCTCCACGGAATACTGGCTGTGTGACCTTAGCAAGTCTTGTTCCTCTCTGGGCCTCTGTTTTCTCCTTTGTAAAAACAGGAGTAGATTCTTGCCCCGATGATGGCTATGGGTCTAGAGGAGGTCACGGATGGTGGAAGCCCTACAGAACAATCACTAGGCAAGGCAGGTGACAGAGGATTCAAAACCCTCCCCGAGGGAGAATTAACCAGAAGGTCACCTTTGCAGCGCTGATAAAAATGGGTCCTTGTGCCTTGTTTCAGTTTGCTCATCCCCTCACTGTACAGATGAGAAAACTGGGTCTTCCCCTGTGGGACTGAGTCGCAAAATTTGAAAGTGGTTACGAGAGTAGATCCTAAGAGCTTTCATCTCAAGGAAAAAAACATTTTTTTCTTTCTCGCTTTTTTTTTTTTGGTAACTCTAGGAGATCCTGGATGTTAATTAACTTATTGTGGCCATCATTTCACGATATATGCGAGTCAAGTCCTTACTCTGTACACTTGAACGCCTACAGTGCAGGATGTCAGGTAAATCTCACTGAAACTGGAGAGAAAAATGAGTGAAAATAAAAAGTCACGAAACACAGGCTTGCTTCCTGGTGCGACCCCTTACTAGCTAGCTATGTGCCTTTGGACAAGTTGGGAAAAATCTCTGGGTCTCAGTGTCCTCCTCTGGAAAGAGAGGGTCACCAGGATCCTGGGGACAAAAGGGGGACAGGGGTAGAGATTTGCCGAGCTTTCTCAAGAGGCCTCATACTCCACACCTGGGAGTCTCCACCTAAGGCTGCTCATCCGCTTTGCCTGCAGGTGGTGGTGGTGGGGGGGGGGTCAAAATACTCTGCTTTTTAAAAAGGCATTTAAAAAAGCTCCCCAGGTGATTCTAACCTGCAGGCAGGGGTGAGCCCCACTCCCTGGTCAACAGCCTTGTGAAGCTAAGTGTGGCCCAGCAGGATAGATATCACTTGGGTGGGGTGGCGCTTCTTAGAAATGCAGAATCCTAGGCCCTGCCCGACACCTGCTGAACCTGCATCCGCATGTTAACAAGATGCCCGGATGATGCCCGGATGATTCCATGCATGTGACAGTTTCCGTAACTGTGATTTTATAGTTCAAGAAGGATCGGCCTGGGCAGTGGATTTCAGATGGGTGTGTTTGGGGACAAGATGGAAGGGGCAATCTGGGAGGATTTGAGGCCTGTGGCGACAAGAAGGGAGACTGTGACTCCCATCATAAAGGACAGAGGCTAAGTGACAAAGTAGCAAAATGAGCTTCTCCCAGCCTTGCAGACAGACACGGGCACTTACTAGCCCAATCACATTCCCGGGGAGAAGACTTGTCCAGAACCTGGGAGGGCCATTTTCATTACACTGCTCACTTGGCCACAGCCTTACTTTCTTTAAATTGCGTTTGTTTCACGTAGATATTTAAACAGCTTACTGTTCAGAGGAAGGGGGCGGGGACACTGGACCTCATCCGTGTTGGAGAGAAACAGTCTAGGCCTCCCAGCAAGCAGGTGGCCGAAGAGGAAGATGAATAAAATGAGCAGGGTGACTGAGCCCAGCCAACTCTGCAGTGCTGAAAAAACCGTTCATCTCAAGGCAGCTGCTGAAAGTTTTTTGGGCTTTAGAACCTGGGCAGAGCAGAAGGGGAAAGAAAGGGGAACAAGTGAACGAATAAACAGCAAATGGAGAGTGTTCCTGAGCTTGAGGCTCTCCCCGTGTGCATTTCACCTGGCCTAGAGCTTCTGCTTGGTGCTCTGTTCCTTCCTCAGCCATGACTTCCTTGGGCAAGTCATCTTCGGGCTTGGAGGAACTCATACTCCAGTGCTGGATAAAGAGAGAAGACAGCACAGGGCCCCCTGGGTAGGAAGGTGCACCCCGAGGGCCCATGGTCACCTCAGCATCATTTCCTGGGCAGGCGAGACAGAATCTGGAGCTCGAGTTTTCCAGGAACACTTGTTAGAACCCCTGCCTGCCTCTCCCCTCCCCCACAACCAGGCGGATGACACCATTCGGTGCCAGGTGTGCCCTGACCTGGGCCCGATAAGAGTGTCCTCCCGCGGGGCGTGGGTGCTTGGCACTTGGCCTGAGGACTTTCTCCTTATGCTTGCCAGGGGACCGGCGACGATGTGGAGGGTGGCAAAGGTCAGGGCTGAGCCATCCAGGTAAGCCACCAGCAGGCAGGACATCCCAGGCTCCTGGGCCAGGTGGGAACAGCTCCTAGCATCACCTCTTAACCTCATTCTGGGCTCAATGGCCAAGGAAGCCATCTCAGGAATCACCAGTGGGGCAACCTGCCCTCTAGTGGTGGTAGGCCAGAACTGCACCCCGCCTGCCTGCTTTTCACAATGGGGTGTGGCTCTGGAAGAAAGCTTCTCCAGGGATCTACTTGTTCAGCCCACAGGCGGGTGACAGGCAGTGGGTGCTGTTCTCCCGTCATTTCAAGCATCTCTTCACCTCATATGATACTCATCCCTGAAAGGGGAAGGGAGCTAGCATGGAACCGGTACCTGCTGCCTACTAGGGACTTTGTATACTGTGCTTCCTGGACGCCTCCGAAGGTCTTGGGGGCCAAGGGATATTACTAACCCATGTCCAGAAATAGTTTCTGTCTTCGAAGACAGGCAGCAAGGAGTCAAGTCACAGTCCACTCCATGCCCATCTGACTTCCCAAGCCATGTTTTTTTACGTACCACCCACCAGTGGCCCCCTCCAGGTCAGGAGATTTCCAGGCCTTCACAAGGACCAGGCAAGCAGCAAAAGGGAGGGGAGCACGTTGGGGAGTGGTGGGGACTGGGGCAAACAGAGGCGTGTGCTACATCTAAGGGGCCCAGTCAAACCACTCCACAGATTCCCTGATTCCCTAACACCTAACGAAAGCTGAAAATCTGGATTTTCATGTAAAAGCTCTCACTTTTAAACATTGACGATTGGGCGCCTGGGTGGCTCAGTTGGTTAAGCGACTGCCTTCGGCTCAGGTCATGATCCTGGAGTCCCGGGATCGAGTCCCGCATCGGGCTCCCTGCTCGGCAAGGAGTCTGCTTCTCCCTCTGCCCTTCCCCCCTCTCATGCTCTCTCAAATAAATAAATAAATAAATCTTAAACATTGACGATTGATTCAGAAAAGAGTTTAAATATCATGCAAGTCAAACAAAGAATGTTTCTAACACTTTGAGCTTCTATAATACCCTCATGGTGCTGCTGACTCCGGAGCGGGGAGGCAACTTGCCCACGAGCCCGTGACCATGCAGAGACAGGGTCTGGACTTGACCCCGTGTCTCCTGACTCTGAGGCCAGTGTTCCTCTCAGGTCATCTCTCTGTGGTCTGTCCTGCTCTCCAGGCCCTGGGGCAGGGGGTGAAACACTCCTGACGTTGGTGAGTTAGCAGGACATGTCAGACTCAGGGTAGAGGCTGGGACACCATCCACATTTATTGGTCAAATTTTGCTTCAAGTGTGGCAGGGCCATCCTCGGGCCCTTTTGGAAAGAACAAGAACATCAGGTAGCACATGCAGCCCCTGCTGGGAGCTCACCCAGATCCTGCTGAGGTAGTATCTAGACCCAGTGGCCTTCCCTGATTATCTTGGTAGTGCCTACCTCCACACCCTTAGACCTGGCTTTTTCTGTGACGTAGGTCAGACTGGGCCCGTCCTTTCCCGAAGACCATACCTAGATCTGGGCCCAAAGTCTTTGGAAGCTAGGGTTCAAGAGGAGGGAGCCATCCCATTTACAAATGGGAAAACTGAGGCTTGAGGCAAGACAGGACTCATCCAAAAGCCTCGTGGCTGAGTCCTGGCTTGGCCCTCAGGCCTCTGGGCTAGTCAGTGCTTGGACACTCTCCCCATCCCATTTCTGGATGGAGAACACTCCCTGGCCATGCTGCTCTGAAAATGCAATGTATAAATACATCCTTGGCTTTAAAAAGTAATAAATTAGATTTTATACCAGCCTGAGGGGATCTGGCCAGCCACATGTTGTATGATAGGAGCATCTGTCACATGTCCTGTGCGAACCACAGATCATGTGGCCTGCCACGGTGTGGTGCCAGGACCCATGCCACTGACCCCGAGGCCACGCTGCAAGTTCCACGGAACGTCGCATAGAATTCTGCCGTGTGTGACCCGTGTCACATATCACATCATGACACTTTCATTGTGTGACATGTCCCCAACTGGTCACGCCTGTCCCATGCAATACAGGGTAGTCTTTTGGCCATGTAAGGTTCCTGGTCACTTCCTGAAGACCGTGGCAAGACAAATATGCCCCTCCTTCTTGGGGCAGCATGCAGGGGCACCCAGCTGAGGCTCTTTTCCTGAGCCCTCTGTCCTGGTGAGTGGAAGTTGGCTTCACTTGGCTCAATTCGAAGGATCTCGAGGGGGGCCATCAACTACCCCGAGGGGCTGGGGCTGCTTGTCGAAGAAAGCGAAGTCCAGCCTGGGCTCCTGGCTCTGCAGACACTGGGCCATGTCGGGGGAGATGGGGTTGTTCCAGAGGCTGCAGGGCACAGAGACAGGCACTCAGCTCTAGGAGCGGCTTGCTCATCCTCTTGTCTCCATCCCCTGTCCCATCTACAGATGCGGACACCCAGGCCCAAGAGGGGAAGAACCAAGCGTGCCCAGAGCTACGTGGCAGAGGAAGCTTAGACCAGCATGGCTCCCCTCGGGGGATGGTGTCCTCCACACCCAGCTCCTGACTTCTCCCACTCAGTCTTCATCCCTAGGAGCTTGTGATCGCAGCCAGGACCATGCTCGTATGATATATTTGTGCAAATAAGGAAAACGCTCCCCTTCTTCACGACACTTTACTTCCATCATTTGAAATTGTCATGAAATATTGGTTTCTATTAAACAAGCCACTTCACTACATTTATTAGAAATCCAACATATCTACTATGTGAATGATGGCCCGTAGAGGCAATGACCTTGTGCAGTGCACAACCTATACGGCTGTATGTGGTGGCTCTGATTATACCATTTTTAAGTGCTTACTATGTGCTAGGTATTGGGCTCAGTGCTTTATATAATCGTTTAGTCCTCACAGCAACTTTCTGAGGTAGATACTATCGTTGAGCCCACTTTACAGATGAGGAAATTGAGGTCAAGAGAGATTGAGTTACTGACATAAACTGGCAAATGGCAGAGCTGGGATTTGATCCAGGTCCGTGTGCTGCCAAATTCTTGGTGGAGAAATTCAAGTCTCCTCTGATAATCCCCAAGCCAGGTCTTGCCCCTCCTACAGGGAGTCCCCTTCCATTGTAGAGGTCGGTGTGGCCTCCCACCATCATCCCCGCCCCTGTGAGCCCCTTTTACCGAATGACTTGGATGCCAGACCCTTGTGCCAGCCCTTCAACCAGGAGCCAGGCTCCACAAGCTGTGATCTGGTTCTTCTCCAGGCTTCTCAACAGATAGCAGAGAAAGGGGAAAGAGAAACTGGCGTGAGTGTGGGGGATGGGCTCCCCTATATGCCCCGCCCCCAGGCCAAGATGCTTACAGAACCCAATAGACAACAGTGCAGCAGGAAGGCTGAAGGCTGGGACCCAGGGAGAGCTAAGGTTGGCAGGGGCCTGACCCAGTGGCCTCTTGGCTTTCCCCAAGGATGCAGGTCCCCCTTCATGTCCTCCCCCAGTTCTGGTTTCCCAGGATGTGCCCCTCATACTCCATTCTCTTCAGCCGGCTCATCTGCGGCAGGACCTGGGCCAGCTCCGCAGCCGCCTCATCCCCGAGCAGATTCCAGGACAGCCTGCAGGGGAGGGGTCCTGAGGTCAGTGGCGGCAGAACAGTGAGGTCGAGGGGCAGAGACAAGGTGGCAGGTGGGGAGGGCTGGGGGCCAATGGCGGAGGCTGCCATGCAGGTGCAAGAAAGGCCACTTGATTGGGAGCTTGTGCGCCCTCCCTGAAGACTTTTCAGGACGGAGGTGTTCCCTTCCTCCCCCCAACTGCATTTTTGAGCTGGTCATCTCTCAAGAACCCAGACAGCTTGAGAGCTGGCTGTCCAGAGAATTCAGAGCACATGGTCTGCAGCTACAATGTCCTGATCCAAACTTCTACCTTGCATGTGCCTCCATCATAATGTTTGCCCTATCCATGCACCCCATTTTTCTTTATTTATTATTATTATTTTTTTTATTTATTTGAGACAGAGAGAATGAGAGAGACAGAGAGCACATGAGAGGGGGGAGGGTCAGAGGGAGAAGCAGGCTCCCCGCCGAGCAGGGAGCCCGATGCGGGACTCGATCCCGGGACTCCAGGATCATGACCTGAGCCGAAGGCAGTCGCCTAACCAACTGAGCCACCCAGGCGCCCCCTGATTGGTACATTTTTTTTTTTTAAGATTTTATTTATTTGAGAGAGAGAGTGAGAGAGAGCATGAGAGGGAGGAGGATCAGAGGGAGGAGGGTCAGAGGGAGAAGCAGACTCCCCGCCGAGCAGGGAGCCCGATGCGGGACTCGATCCCGGGACTCCAGGATCATGACCTGAGCCGAAGGCAGTCGCCTAACCAACTGAGCCACCCAGGCGCCCCCCATTTTTCTTTAAAGCAGTCCTCCCCCCTGCTTTTTTTTTTACTTTAAGAAATTAATCTTAGGAAACACTTATCACTACCAGCAGTGGGAAACCTGTGTTGACAACCCTAAATAGAAGGTAGTTACAAGGATAAACACAGCACAGACAACAGTATTAACTTCTAGTTGGAACCTATGTCCTTCCAAAGGTGCTGAGCCTGTGGCCTGCCCCCTGCTGGTTAAAAAGGGAGACTCGCAAAGAAAAATTGAAGCGGAAAAAATTCAAGCCCTCTCTGGCGCGGGAATATTTCAAGACCATGACAATTAGGTTGCACTGGCTAATCTCTAATTTATCTTTGATATGAAATAATTATCTGCTCCATGGTCATATACAATATTTCTTGGCTTTTCAAGTAAAAAATAAATAAATAAGGAGAATCACCAGTGTTAGGTGTTAAAGATGCCTTAGCATGGATCTGAGACTTTCTCTTCGGTGTCATGTAATGAGAAAGATTAAAACCTTTAAGATGGACAAACCATAAGAGACTCTTAATCATAGGAAACAAACTGAGGTTGCTGGAGAGGAAGGGGCATGGAGGGAGGGGGTAACTGGGTGACGGACATTAAGGAGGGCATGTGATGTAACGAGCACTGGGTGTTATATAAACCTGATGAATCACAAGCCTGTACCTCCGAAACCAATAATACATTTTATGTTATTTGAATTTAAATAAAAATGTTTTTAAAAAGCCCTTTAAGATGCAAACCTAATATCCTCTTAGAAACCCCTGCATCCTGTACCCTAGGAAACAGTATTTTCTTCCATCGCGTGGTCAGGGTCACTGGCTAGTCCTGGCAGTGTGGTTCGCCCCTGTGGCTGCCCAAGGTCAGAGCGCCTCTGATTGCCAAGAGGGAGGTGGGTATGGCCAGCAGGCAGGTGGGGGGCATGCTGGTTTCAGCCATGTTTACTACGATCAGGTGGTTTATAAATTGAGGCTCCATAAACCAGGTGAGGTGATCTATCCAGCCACCTCCCAAAGGGAAGGTCAGGGGCAAAGAGCTTTTAGAGACCGGCTAGTCTACCTCCCCGCCTCCCCTCTGCCACTCCACAGGTGGGGAAACAGGCAGGAGGGGCTGAATGGATTTGCCCAACATCGCTCAATGGCCAAAAGGTTCAAACTTCCTCGAAAGGAGGTTTAAGTAAGAATGACCTTCCCCATTTACAGATGGGGGGCCGGTTGGAGAGGAAGGTGACCAGTTTTAGGCTGGACAGTGGTGGGCAGCCAGGCCAGGCCCCCAGACACCTGCTTTTCCCAGCTCAGGCTTCGTCCAAGCACTCACAGGATTTCCTCCAGGGCTGGGCAGAGAGCCAGGCTGGCGGCAAGGGGCTTGGCAGCGTGGTTGTCAATCTCACACGAAACCAGGCTGGGGACAAACAAGAGGATGGGATGAAAGGGTATCTGAGTCAGGGGCATCTCCAGCCAGCCGGCTTGCTTCTGCCCCACCGTGCAGTCAGAGTAGGAGGGAGAGGAGTGGCCGGGGGGGGGGGGGTGGTGGTGGAAGGGGGGGGAGACTTAGGAAGGTGCCCCTTTTTGCCCCAGGCTCCCTTATACCTGAGGCCTCTGTCACTTCAAAGGTCTTCCCAGGTGTCAGAGAAGGGCTGCCCCCCTCCCCAGCCCAGCTCCCCAGGTAGTCAGCAGAGGTTACTTACTCTATCTGCCTGAGCAGGGGGAGCCCCTGATGGAAATGTGGGACCTCTCTGGCCAGACTGTTCTCTGCCAAGCTGTAGGGCAGGAAGAGACTTGTGAGAGGAGCCCCCAGACCCTCCCTGGCTGCTCCTCTGCCCGGGCTCCATGGCCCTCACTCACTTGATCTCCTCCACATATGGGCATCCATCCAGGGCCTGGCTCAGGAAATGCGCCCCCTCTTGACTCAGACCACTAGATGGCAGGCTGGGGAAAGGGGAGTGGGTGGGTGAGGGGAGTGGGGGGGGGGACCGGGTGTGGGGATTGGGAGCCTTCCAGACTCCAGAATCAAGGGAGTGGGCAGGGTGCAGGCAGGCAGCCCTAGGACGACGTACCACGGTTTGACCTAAGGCCGGGCAGCTCAGTCAGTGGGGGCCTTGATAACCCAGCGCTCCCAGGGAACCCCACCCAGCCAGCCCAGCAGAAGCCCCCCCAGCGGAGGGACACTCACTGCAGGACTCTCAGGTGCTGGGGCAGTCTCTGGGCCAGCTCCAGGGCTGTGATATTCCCCAGGACATTGTAGCCAAGCCTGGAAGACGAGAGGGATGAGGCTGAGCACCGGGCAGGCTGGCTCCAGACCCCTGCACTACCCTGGGCCCCCTGGGGACCACAAAGGCCAGGAGGGCAGTGGGGACACAAAGGGCAGAGGGCAGTGGGGACACACTCACATCAGCTCCTCCAAGTGCTTGCAAAGGGCGAGAGACTCTGCCAACCGCACTCCCCCATCTGGGCCAATGCCATTCCCTGAGAGGCTGAGGGCGGGGCAGACGTTTGACCCTTGGACACCCAGGTCCCCCCACCCCACCGCCCCACCGCCCCTGCTAGGGCTCAAGAGACCACACCCCTGCCACACACCTTCTCTGCCTGATGGGGCAGAAAGGGCCAGAGAGGAGCAGGGCCTGCGCTGGCTGAAGGTCTCAAAGTTGGCAGGGCAGTTACAGGTAAGCCAGCCCCACCACTTGGACACTGAGGGTGGGGGAGGAATGTCAGCCTGAGCCAGGGTCAGTGTCACTCCCGACCGCCGTGTGGCTACTGAGGGCCCCCGTCAGTAGGACTGACCACTCACTCGATCTTCCTGAGCTCGGGCAGCCCTGGTAGGACGGCAGCCAAGTGCTGGGCTCCGATGTCTCTGATCTGGTTGTGGCTCAAGCTTGGGGAGAGAACAGTAGAACTGGAACCATCCGCCTGCCACCCAGGTCATTTTGTCCACATCCTCCTCCCAGAACAGAAGAGCAGGCTGAAATCTGGAGGGAGGCCACCGCTCACACTGAGCGAGTCCCCTCACCCTGTGTTAGGTGAGGACTTCAAACCCTTGTCTTCTGTTTAGGATGTTCTCCCCGATGTCTGACCTGAATCCCTCTTGCTGCAGTCCACACTCTCACATCCTATCTTGGGGTCTCCTGAAGGTCTAGGCCCGGGGTCATGTAGTGGGAAGTGGGACTAAGCTGGGCAGGGCATACTCCATCAGGGAGCCCCTTGTTTTTGTCATCTGACCCTGCCAAAGTTGTCTTGGGTTGGGGGAGGGCTAGGCAACTCACCCCAGCTCCTGCAAGCTGCTGGCCGCTCTGAGAGCCTCGAAAAGCTGGTAGCAGCTGACATCACAAATACCGTTCCTGCTCAGGCTGGAGGAGCAGAGGCCTTGGTCAGGAGCAGGGGCCTAGGCCTTTGCAGGTGCTGTGCTAAGAACTCTACAGTTTGCAAAGCTTTTATACATCCAGGAACCCATATGCCAATCACTAAACTTCAGGGGCTGGGGAGGGGGACAGGCAAGGTGGGAATGACTGGACCCAGAGTCCAGATGAGAAAACTGAGCCCAGGGAAGAGCCATGACTGGCCCAGGACCGCTCGTGACTCCCAGGCAAGGTGGAAATGCAAGCCCAGAACGCCCCCGTCCCCTGCCCGGGAGCCATGGCCATAGTTTTCGGTCTGGCCAGGCTTTGCCACAGCCTCTGTGTCAGGAAGCGCCGGGCCACCCTGGCTGAAAGCTAATTTCACAGGGCTCCGCAATCCAGGCAAATCATTTCTCCACGGCATAGGTGTTCTGATCGGTGCAAATGCTGGGCTTTTCCATAAAGCCAGTTTATTGCCCTTTCTGCGCCCTGACCTTGCCCTGCCCCCTTGAATGGCGAAAACAAAACCCAACAAATCAGCAGAGTCCAACTGTCTCAGCCCTGTGTTGAGAATCTGAAGATTGTTTTGTTTTCTTTCATTTCACAAATTAAACTTCAGGGAAGTGCCTTTCTAAAAATTAATTTTGGAAGAAATGACCTAGTCCCATCTGATATGCTTCCCAGAACTCTCCGACCTCTTCTGTCGTGGACTCTACTCGGCCAGTATGGGGGTGGGGACTTGGGGAGACACAAAACGATGCTTTGTGTTGTCTCTTGGGTTTATCTGTAGTCACTGCATTTTGTATTTTGCAAAATCCCAAGAAAAAAGGTGTTATATCTGTTAATCAAGGTGGCCAGGGGCCCACGGGTAGAATGTCAAGATCACCAGATTGGAGTCTAGACCCTCATTGCTGGTCTATGGCCCCCAGGATTGGTATCACTTGGGAGCTTGTTAGGAATGCAGAATCTAGGCAACACTGGTGCGTGGAATCAGACATGCGAACAAGCACACAGAGGAATGTGTGCACATTAAGGGCTATTCCAGGACTGGGGCTCAACCCCTTCCAGTCACTTCTGTAGCTGGAGGGAGCTGGTGGCACCGGAAGGCAAGAGCGATGGGCACCGACCTGAGAGGGCAGCAACGTCCCCAGGATGGGAGCCACGGAGGGTCTTCAGGGAAATGCCCCTAGTGCTTCCCTGGGCGGGTGGTCACCACAGAGCTGGGGCATGTCCTCCCACTCATTCCCATGGGGTCCCTTGGCCACTCACCGGAGGCTCTGCAGGAGGGTCATGTGGCTTAGTCGTTGAGTAAGCATGGCCAGGGCGGAGCTGCTGAGCGGGAGATGGCTGAGGCTGGAGGAAAGGAGGCCAGAGGAGGACTCGGCGTCACCGGGGTTGGGTCCCAGGTGCAGACCGAGGCCCCATCCAGTCTTGAGGCCTCGGTGCTCAGTAATCCCCAGGGACCTCCAAGATAGCCACTTACATCCACACCGAGTAGACACCGTGTACAAAACGAAACTGCACGAGACACCCAGAGGCTGTTTCTCTGCACGAGTAAGGCTACCCAGGCAGTGGGTCTGTGTTCCGAATCACACGGGACCCGGACGGCTGACCAGGCAACCTAGCGACCACAGAGTGGGCATACACTCGAGGCCGAGCACTGAGTTCGGGGCCGTCCTGAGAGACAGAACTCTCTCGTCCCCATTTTGCAGATGAGGCACACTGAGGCTCCGAGCATTATCAGAGAGCTTGTTCAAGGCCACATGGAAAGTAGAAGCATCGGGAACAGAACCCAAGGCCACAGGACTCCTGTTCCTGGACCCCTACCATGCATCACCCATGAGAGCACACTCCTTCAGGCCCTCAGCCTGGGCAGGAGAGGGGAATAATAATAATAATAATAATAATAATAATAATAATAATAATAATAATAATAATAGTAGTAGTAGTAGTAGTAGCAGCAGCCGCCGCCGCCGCCAATACTTGCAGGGTGTGAATTCCGTGTCAGGCTCTGTTCTAAGGACTTCATATGTATTATCTCATTTAATCCTTGCCACAACCCTAGAAGGTAGGTATAGCTATTATCCCCAAAGTTAAGACGGGGAGAAAAGCACAGAGAAGTTAAGTAACTTGCCCAGGCTCACACATTCAGAGGTGTCCTGGTCTGCCTAGAATTGAGGGGGGCTCCAGGATGTGGGACTCTGGGCCCCAGGGAAACTAGGACAGCCGTCACCCTACGAGTTGAACCCAGGGGGTGTGGCTCCTAACCAGGGTCCATGCCCCGGACCATTTGGCCACAGATGGACAGGTAGAAGAAGCCAGCTGGTGGCAGGGAGGAAACACTCAGAAATGACAGATCTGAAATGGGCAGAGGTATCTGGGCAGTGGGGATCCATCCCCGTTCTTCATTATGCCCACTTCAGAGTTGGGGCGGCCAAGGAGGTGAGAGGTAAGGAGCCGTCCTAGTAGCCTAGGAAGCCAGAAAAGGGTCACACATCTGTCCTGTTCTCTGCAGTACCTCCAGCCCCAGGCCCTGGCCCAGGTGCCCAGGTAAACACCTGTCAAATGCATGCATGAGCCAATCAATGATCTCACTGGGCCTCCAACACTCCCTCCCACCCCCACCCCCTCCAGCAACAAAAGCTGCCAGAACGAAGGGAGGCTGAGCAGAGGTGAAGGCACATGGGAGGGAGGCCAAAGAAACAGCTTGTGAGAAAGACATGTGGGTCCTCTGGCCAAAGGTCTCTCCGATACCATCCACACCCCAGTCCCCAGGACAAGCAAAAAGGGACAAAGAGAATTTTATTGTTAAGGGGCAAAAAGTCAGAAGGCTACTTTTAAACTGTATTTAACACATATGTTGAAAAATATCTGGAGGAAAATTCACAAACTGCTCATTCACAGCGGTTTCCCCAGGGAGTGTCACTGCCAGAGGATTCCGTGTCCTTTGTTACATATTTCGGTAATTACAGAACTTTTTATAATAACTAGGGTGTATTTTTGGTCATCAGAGAAACTTAGAGATTAACGGCAGACGATACCATGTAAAAAGGTTCCATCTAGATGCTGTTATGTCTGGGCACGGGGTCGGCGGGGGTGGGGGGGGAACCTGTCCTTCACACTGAGACTGATTCTGCTCTTGCTGGAACTTGGTGACTTCCAAATTATAGGTGAGAGTAAAAACGTTGCCAGTTGCTAAGGAAATAACTATAAGCAAAGAGCGGTGGACAGCTGTGGGTCTTACCTGCCCCCAGTTCGTTTCCCCTCCTTCTGACAACAGCACCCTGAAACACCACCGGCCCCCCAAGCCCAGACAGTTGGGTGGGCATGTGACCCAGATCCAGCCACTCAGAAGACTGTGTGCTTAGATCCACAGTGCTTGGCTTAGGGGTGGGCATGTGACCTGAGCTAGTCCAGTGAGAATCATCTAGAGCCTTGTGTTGTAACTAGAGAGAGAAAGGTGCTCCCTTTTTGCGAAGCTGGTAGAAAGGAAGCCTGCCACTGCAGGGATGACCTGCCTGAGAATGAAGTCAAGATGGGGGTGGGGATGGGGCGGAGAGAGAGAGAACAAATACAGAACCCCTGGATACAGCCATGCCTGAAGTTAGCTGCCTTGTAATTTTCTGTGACACAAGCCAGTCAATGTCTGGCTTGGGTCAGTGTGAGTGAGTATTTTATTTCCAGGGATCAAGCATTTTGATGGCACTCCGAGCCAGGTAAGGGAGTAAAAGGGAGGGCAACTGGCTCACCTGTTACCTATCCCGTATCCATTCAGGTATGTCACAGTTGGTGTTACAAGAGATGCAGAATTTCCTAGGCCTGCTCCCAGCTCCTCCCCACCTCCCCGCCGCACCCCCCTTCACACCACCACCACTTACTCGAGCCTCTTCAGCCGGCACATCCCCTCAAGGACCCCCAACAGCACTTCGGCGTCCTCCTCACCAAACTGATTGTTGGACAAGCTGGAGGGGACCAAGTACGAGGCGAGTGTTAGACAAGCCTGCCCGGCTCCTGCAGCTGAGCAGTCTCACTAGCTCCCTGTGGGGGGCAGCTGGGGCTCTGCAGATCCCGGCCCACCCTCTTTGTCCAGGCCTCTCGGGGGCACTGCTGGCTCCAAGGGCCGGGCTTTGGGGTCCCTGAGGAGGGGGCATGGCCATCTCAGCTGACCCAGCTGAGAAAGGATGTCCTGGATGAGGGCTGAGAAAGAGGAAGCCAGGGACAGGGGACACACACACACACACACACACGTGCAGTGATCCCTTCGGCCCCACAGCCCTCCCTGTACCCTGACACCCATAGCCACCCCTGGCAGAGAAGGGTGATGACCCCCACTTTACATTTTACGTGAGCCAGCCCAAGCCCAGACAGGCACCGTTATTCGTCCTGGGTCACTCTGAGCTACTGATAAGTTGGGACCAAGAAGACAGTGCTCAGCCTTCCCGGGCCACACCCAAGGCTGCTGGGCTTCATCAGGGAGCCAAGCGAGAGGCTGAAGTCCCACCACCCACCTTACCAAAGGCCCAGCTGTCCTCTTCACCCCTGCCCTGGGCTGGGCCATCCCTTCCCGTACCCCGCCCCCCCAACCCTGCGACTCACTCCAGCCCCTCCAGGTGGTGGCAGTGGCTCAGACCAGATGTCAGGTGGGCCAGGCCCTCGGAGCTCACATGGCTGGAGGTCAGCCTGGTGGGGGTCAAAGGGCAGCAGGTCGGGCAGGGGCTCTGGGTCTTGAGAGTTCAGAATGCTGATAGCAGAGGGCAAGGAGGAGGGCTGGGGCAGGGGGATGGCACCCTCCTTCCCTTCATAAACCTCCCCCACCATGGAATCATTAAGCTTAGATACAGCTTGGACTAGTTGAATATTTCCCTAAACCACAGTCAGGTAGCAACAATCCCCCTTGCCAGGGATTCCTGGGCATCCCTGGAAGTCTAGCTAGCTAATTGGCTTTTACCACGAGCTCTGCATCTTTACTTAAACCACCAAAATGAGTAGCAGTTTTGAGAGAGGTGTTAAAGATACACGGGCACCAAAAGGACACCTTCCCCTTGATGCAATCAGCTAGATTAAAAGAGAATTAAAAGTGAGAAAAGCTCCATTTTGCAACCATCCTACTGACATTTGATTCAGGCAAGAATTATCAACGGAGGTTGAAATTAGTAGGTGATAACGTGAGGAAGGACAGGATATCTACAGCGTCTTAAAGTGTCTCCCTACAAGATATGGGTTAATTAGAAAGGGGGAAACGGTAGTTTTGCAGGGGAAGGAAGCTGGCAGACACCCCCACCTTCACGGGGTGATCACAGTTACTATCAGTCAGGGGACAAAGAGACAACGTGTGCCTCCCGAGGAGAATGTAACATCACCTCTGTGAGATTTCTGCCCCACTGCAGAACCTAAATCTAACGTGAAGAAACACTGAAGCCAAACTGAAGGACGTCTGACAAAATCACTGAGATGTAAATGTCATGACAATATCACGCAAGACAAAGAGGGGCTGAGGACCATTCCAAATTGGAGACAAAAGGCAAATGACAATTAAGTGCAGTGTGTGATCCTAGGTGGAATCCAGGACTGGAAAAAAAAAAAAGCAACAAACAACATGACCGGGACATTTGGCAAAATTGAATTTGAATGGTAGTTTTGATAACGATAGCGTACCAATGTTAAATTTCCTGCATCTTACACGTTTACTGGATTGTGGGAAGGAAATGTTCTCGTTCTTAGGAAATTCACTGAAATAGTAAGGGGTGAAGGGGTGTGTTTATGCAACTACTTTCAAATGGCTCAGAAAAAGAGGGAGAGAGGAGAAGAACAGAAGGGAAGGGCGAGGAAGGAGGGAGGAAGGGAGAAAGAGCAAATGGGAAAAAATATTGACAAGGGGTGAATTTGGGAAAATGGTATACGGAACTGCTCCTAGGTCTATCTGTTCGTTTGCAGTTATTTCAAATAATAAAGGGGGAAAAAAAGGAAAAGAGAAAGCATTGAAGAGGAACTCATTCTTGCCACGTGGTCATGTGGATGACCACACACTCTGCCATCATAACCAGGGCTGAGAGTGGTCCCAGCCCCTGGGGTGCGGACACAGAGTTCCTCTGAGCCCAGGGCTGGGGAGCGCAGGAAGTGTGGGGCAGAGCATGCATGGGCGGGCGAGTGAACATACTCGTCTGCGTACCTGAATGTCTTCAGCTCGGAGAGGGCCTCCAGGAGACTTTGCAGAAGCAGGGAGCTAGTGTTGCAGAGGTTCACCTGGGACAAGCTGAAAAGGCCCGAGCATAGTCCAGAGGATTTCAGGTTGGATGCACCTCCGGGATCATCCAGCACACAGAGATGGGGAGCCCAAGAGAGGGGAAAGAACCGCCCAAGAGCTCCCAGTGGGGGCATCTATGCCACCCTGGGGCTCTCCCCGCACTGGCCAAATGGGATTCTCTCCTGCTTAGGGAAGCAAGAAGGCCAGAGGAAGTAATGCTGCCCTGGGCTCTGCTCATTCGCATCCCGGACTGGCCAGCCTCTTCCATGTGGTCTGGTGTGGGCACTAGGGGATGACCAGAGAACTCAGGGCCCTAGATGGTGTTTCGGGGTTCTTTTTTTTTTTTTTAAAGATTTTATTTATTCATTTGACAGAGAGAGACACAGCGAGAGTGGGAACACAAGCAGGCGGAGTGGGAGAGGGAGAAGCAGGCTTCCCGCAGAGCAGAGAGCCCGATGTGGGGCTCGATCCCAGGACCCTGGGATCATGACCTGAGCCGAACGCAGACGCTTAACGACTGAGCCACCCAGGCGCCCTGTGTTTCGGGGTTCTGACCTGAGCTGCCGCAGCCTGGCACATGTCTCCATCAGCTGCCAGACAAGAAGGTTGTGGTGGGTCCCAAGGTCACAGTGAGCCAACCTGGAGGTAGACAGGGAGGCAGGAGTTTCTGAACACCTGGGTCACTATTGGGGATGCAGTCCTTGCCTACAAGGAGATTACCTTTTAGGGATAAATAAACACTAATGAAGTAAAGTCCCACAGTTTTCTATTCAACTATGGGAAGTGCTTTGAAGAAGTCCAGATGGGGCAGCTGGTATGGCTGTTGTTCACTGCACAAGGGGACTCAGCTAAGGAGGTGAGTTGGGGCTGAGAACCGGCTGTGGTCTGTTCCCCAGAATGTACACATGCAGGGCTGCATTCACTCAAAAGGGGTGACATTTTAATTTCCAAAATGTGCTGTATGGATCAGGGGTGCTGTGAATCCAGGCATCTATAAGGGTGGATCATGGGAGAACTTGACTACATCTGGGGGTTCAGAGGGGCTTTCCTGAGGTGGTGGCATTTAAGCTGAGACTTGAAGGATAAGGGGGGAGTTAGTCAGGAGGGTAGGGGAGAAAGGAGAAAAGGAGAAAGAGGGTAGGGGAGGAGAGAACATTCTGGTCCACAAACAGCCCGTGCAAAGGCCCTGAGGTCAAACGGAGCAAGGTGGTATTGGGGGAACTAAAAGGTGGTGGGGATGACTGGAGCTGAGACTGAGGTTTGGGGTGGGGCTGGGCAGGTTGGGCCAGAACTCTTTGGCCAGGTAGACACTTTGGACATCAAAGGACACTGAGCAAGGCACGAGAACTATTGATCAGAAGCAGTAGTTACCCCCACCCCCAGCCCATCACCAGCTACGCCCATGGGGGCCCAGGTACTAGGTCCCACCTGAGGGCCATGGCCTCTGGGTTCTCCTGACGGGGAAACTCCAACTGGAGACAGAGCTGCTGCTGGATCTCGGAAATGCTGAGGAGAGAAGGGGTAGCCAGCATGAGGTCCGAAGCAGCTCCGCCTTCGGCTGCCAGTCTACTGACTCTGAGCTCCCAGACCCAGTAGGGATCTGGACTAGGTCAGTGGGACTCCAAAGCCTTTGCTCTTAGCTACTCCACGTCATTCTGTCACCTCTAGTCCTAGAGCCACAATGTGTGTTTACTGTAATCCAGGGGCCACTTCTGGACAATCAGTGTGGACTCCCACCTGTGTCTACCTGGGATCCACCAGCTCTTTGTCTTAATTCTGTAGCTGCCTTCCTCTCTCTGGCTCTGTAGCTTGATTACTGCACAGGTCCCAACAAATGTGTATCCCCTGCCATCTTGGGGATCTAGAGAATTTGCTAGTGACACAGCTATTACCCCACAGGGCAAGAGACTGATGTCTAGGTGAGGGATGGTCCCAATAGTCATGAAAAGATGAAGACTTCTGAGGGGCCTCCTCCCTCCACTCACCTTATTTCAGTGACGTTGCCTGAGGCCTGCGTGCAGACTTCTAGCAGAGTGAGCACCCCGGCTTTGCCTACCCACGGCTCCTCCACCCTGTTGCAGAAGCAGAAGGAGATGAAGGTCCCCCAGGGTGAGCCGGGGGTGGGGGGCAAGTGTGGGGCTCAGAGGCTTTTTGGTTTTGCTGGTTTAAAAACTATAAAATTACACAACTAAGCACAAGCGTAAAACGGGAAATTAACATCATCTTTGTTCTGCAGTTACTGCAACAATCCCAACAGAAAATAGTCCTTTTTTAAACAATAGTTTTAGACTTAAGGAAAGGGCCATATAGTGTTGCATGGCAAAGATAAGGAAATAAAACCATATATAAAACATTCCCATTTTGTATTTAAAAAAGGAAAAATATGTATGGAGAGAGAAGAAAACATGGATAGAAAGAGGGAGACGGAGATACGAGGAAAATATATTAAAAGCTAATGATGGTTGTTTAGATGGTAGAATTCTCACAAGTGGTTTTTTCCTTTCTTCCACAGTTTCCAATATTTTTCCGGACTTTCTACAATGTGCGTGCATTAATTTAGAAGCAGGAAAAAAGAGAGCTGTTTAAAATATTTCTGCTTTTGAAGTTATGTTGAGATTTTTTTTTTTTGAAGTACTATTTTCTTATGTTCATCTGGATTTTCCACAAATCTCTACAACGAGTACGGATTATTTTTAGAGTATGAAAAGTTTTATTTTAAAGTGTTATTTTGGGTGATCCAGCAATTCTGGGTATACACCCAAAAGAACTGACAGCAGAGATACAAAGAGGTATTTGCACACCCATGGTCGCAACAGCATTAAGCACCTCAGCCAAAAGGTGGAACCACCCAAGGGTCCACGGACGGATGAACGGATCAACAAAATGCGGTGGCTACCTACAACGCGACAACAGTCAGCCTTGAAAAGGAAGGAAACTCTGACACCTGCTGCAGTGTGGATGAACCCTGAGGCCGTGATGCTGAGGGACACGAGCCAGTCACAGAGAAGATAAATCCTGCGCAATCCCACTTACAGGAGGTCCCTAGAGCAGTCAGATCCGTGGATTGAGAAGGAGAGTGGTGGCTGCCAGGGGCTGGGGTAGGGGGACACGGGGATGCATGTCATGGGGACAAAGTTTCAGTTTTCCAAGAAAAGGGTTGCGGCTGCAGAACAATAAGAATGTATTTAACACTCCTGAACTGTACCCTTAAGGATGGTTAAGATGGTAGATTTTATGTCTATTGTACCACAATTGAACAAGAATGGTATTTTGGAGAACAACCAGGCTTCACGTGCCTCGTCATCGGCTGTGCTGACACGTGCCCAGCACTGCCCACGGAGTCAGGGTTTTGGACAAATTTATGTAACTGAGTCTCCTGCAGCCTTCGGATCTAACTTCCATTCTGGGAATGTCAGGGCTTTAGAGGAACAAACGCAGTGACTTCAGGAGGAAGGCACCAGACAGAGCCAGCGAGTGTAGACACAGCCCAGCGGGTGGTTTTGTCCACAAGAAACCAGGGAGGGTGGGTGACACAGATTAAGAGTCCTAAGAGCCATCGCCACCCTGTACCAGTGTGGGCCTTGACTGGATCCTGGGTCCGATGAGCCAGCTGCCCCATCTGGGGACAGTGGGAACTTTTAGATTGGACTGGGCCATCACAACACTCAGAATTGCCACCGATCCTCCTGGGTGTCCTCATTCAACCGCAATTGTGAAGAAAATGTCCTTATTTTTTTTAATTTATGGTGAAATGTCTAGGAGCCATGTTTTATGAGATCTATAGCTTGAGAACAATTTAGCCAAAAAAAAATAAAAGACGAAGCAAATATGGAGAACCATGAATAACTGTCAAGCCCAGGGGCTAAGGATATGAGTCTTCAACATCAGTCTCTCTACTTGTTGGTATCTTCTCTGCTTTTCTGAAAGTTTTTTTTTTCTGTTTTATAATTTAAATTCAAGGTAGTTAACATATAGTGTATTATTAGTTTCAGAGATAGAGGTCAGTGATTCATCAGTTGCGTATAACACCCAGTGCTCATTCCATCACGTGCCCTCCTTAATGCCCATCACCCCGTTACCCCATGCCCCCACCGCCCTCCCCTCCAGCAACCCTTTTCTGAAAGTTTCAAAATGATCATCGTGAGCATACACGCATGATATCTGTTGTATATTACTGTTGACCTCATCTGGGTGTCCTTTGGGGTTTCCTTTTTTTTCTTTTTTCTTTTTAAAGATTTTATTTATTTATCTGAGAGAGAGAATGAGAGACAGAGAGCATGAGAGGGAAGAGGACAGAGGGAGAAGCAGACCCCCCGCTGAGCAGGGAGCCCGATGCGGGACTCGATCCCGGGACTCCAGAATCATGACCTGAGCCGAAGGCAGTCGCTTAACCAACTGAGCCACCCAGGCGCCCCTCCTTTTTTTTCTTAAGTGCCCAAGCAGAGGCCCCACCTCAAGGAGGGTGGCTTCTCCGTATGCCTGAGGGGGTTTCTGGGGCTAAAGGCAGGGTCCAAGTGGCAGGGTTTGGGTGCAGGACGTGGCTCGGGCCACGGTCCTGGGGGAGACCCATTCTCCAGGGCCCACCCTGGCTCCTCCCAGGGGCACCGAGCAAGACAGTACCTGAGACTGAACAGCCCCACCGGCCACCTCAGCAGACTCAAGAGAAGCGTCAGCTGTTCCAGGCCCAGGCAGCACTGGGTCAGCCTGGGGACAGAGGTCTGTTACAGGGGTGGCCCTCACCGGGAGCCCCCGCCCCTCCCCTGCCCCTGTGGGTGGGCCTGGTGACTCACGTGAGTGCGGTCAGCTGCAGGGCCTGGTTCAGGTTGGTGGCCAGTCTGGGCACATGCTCCAGCCCGAAGCTGCACTGGCTCAGCCTGAGGGCAGAGGGGAAGGGGCAGAGCTGGAGTGAGGCCTGCTGGGGCTGCTGTCCTGCTTCCTCCCATCTCCCCCAGGGCCTGTGGGGTGCCCCACCCTGAGGGCAAAGGCCTGGAATCAGGGCCTGAGAACAGGCCAAAGATGCAGCTCCTGCTCTGGGAGCTTCCTATCTCTTGAGAGAGATCACCCCACCCCCTGCCAAGAAAGGGCCGGGAGTGTCCCTTATTGAGCCCTGACTCTATGCCAGGCCCTGGGCCAGCATCTGGGTGCTCCGGATGAGCCTACCTTATATGCAGCATCTCATGCAATTCCAACCACATCATTTACAGGCAGAGAAACTGACTAACCCAAGGACACATAGCTGGTGAGAAGTAAGGGCCGAATCGGGTTTCAGTCCAAGTCAGCCAGACTCCAGACCCCAAACCTACACCGTGGCTCTCCTCCCCAGTACCCCTTTACTCCAGGCTCCCTTGGAGGGAGGAGGCCTGGGATTCCTGTTGGGGCCCCATCCTCCTGGCTCTTGTGGCCCTGGGTGGCCAGCAGACGGGCCCCACAGGGCCGTTCACGGTCACGGGACAGGGACCCCTGGAGGATTCCACGAGAGACCGACATTTCAGCTGGGTATGAAAGGATTGGGAGAATTTTATCTTGGAAACTACAGGGAAGAGAGTGTTGGCTTGAGTGCCTGGAGGGAAGGAAGCTTCATCGGGCAGTGTGTGTTTAGTAAGGAGTGAAGGGCCCTTGGGCTGAGTGTGTGTGTGCATGTATGTTGTGGGTGTGTTGTATGTGTATGTGTGTGGAGTGCGTGCGTTTATGTGCGTGGTGTGGGTGTGGCTTATCTGTGTACGGCTTTGGGGAGGTGAGGAGGAACACGATGGGAAGTGGCAGCCAGATCAGACTGAGGGAGAAGACCAAACTAAGGAATCTGAACCTGATCCTGGGGCCAATGGGGAGCCCCGGAAGGGCTTAGCACAGTGGAGTGCCACAGTCCAATGTGTTCTGGGAAGATCCCTCTGGGGGCTGTGAAGTGAATGGATTGGGGGAGGCCTGGCCAAGGCAGTGGCCCAGTTCAGAGGCCATGATCACAGCTGAAGAAAGACATACAGAGGAAGTGACCCGAGGCAGTGGTGGTGAAGCTGAGAGAGAGCACCCCAGGCTACCGGTGGGTAATAATAACAGCAACTGATACAGAACTCAAGTGAGCCAGGCCCTTGCCAGGCACTTTATACATATCAACTCCTTTAAGCCTCATAAGAACCCTAAGGGGTAGGTCTTACTATTATTCCCATTTTACAGATGAGGAACTGAAACACAGAGAGGTTAAGTCACTTGTTCGAGGTCACACAGCTGGCAAATTGGTAGGGCTGGGATTTACCCCCAGGTGGCTCCAGAGTCTGAGCTCTTAACCATGATACTCAGAAGCCTCCAGGCTTATAGTTAAGGCATGGCTAAGAGGCACCCATCAATGCAAAGGCCTGGCCTCAGGACTGGAGGTGCGGGGGTGTTGGGGGCAGATCTGGGGGCGGCAAACCCAGGCAGTGAGCGTGAAGCAGGGTGTCTGAAGGAGGAAAGGGCCGAGAGAAGGAGGAGGCATGGAAGCTGCCCCAGGGTCAGCTTCCTCTTCCCCATTCCCTCCCCTTGGCCCCTCTCCCCCAGACCAGGCCTTACCTCAGTGTCTTCCTGGCCTCCTCCCGTCTGGAGAAGTGGATCCAGAAGCTCTGCTCAGAGCCCAGGCTGCAGAGAGAAGGGTGTGGGGAAGCCGGAGGCCCAGCATCCTGAGCCCCAGACACCAGGGGCTGCAGGAGGGAAGAGGGCTAGGCCCGCAGGGACAAGGGAGGGTGAAAGCCACAGAAGGAGAGACCACAGGGAACCCCCAGCACATTCTGTGAGGACACTGAATCCTCGCCTTCCCCACCCTGTGACCTCCCTGGTCCCCATGTCATGCAGGCCTTGGAGGATGGAAACCACGATCCCCCGTTCAGGGAACCCTGAGACTGAGAAAGGGGGGCAAGTTGCCCCAAGTCACACAGAGGGGGTTGCTAAGCGTGGGAATCTTGCTTCTCCCCACCGTCAGCAAGTGGCACCAACGTCTTACTTCACGGAGGCCTCCCGGATGCGTGGGCAGGAGGGGAGTGTCTTCACCAGGCCCAGGGCACTTTCTAGGGAGATGTTGTTGTGACTCAGGCTGGAAGAGAAATGAGGTTCAGGATGGGGGGAGGGGCAGCACCTTAGGGCAGCCCTGCCCAGCCCCCCCTTGTCCCCTCTCCTCCAGCTCTCTGTCCCCTCTGGGAGGACTGTCCTCAATGTCCAAGTGTCCACTCTCCAGGTGCAGACATCGAGGTCCAGAGAGAGGCCAGAGGGGCACTTTCCCCACACAGGCAGGACAGGCACCCAGTCCTGCGTCCTCAGGAGCTGCACCCACTGGGGCTGAGACAGGGTCGATGGGGCCAGGCTGACAGTTCCAGCCCCAGGGGCTCAGGGACACCCAGAGCCCAAAGCTCAGTTGCCTAGCAACCCGCTGTATCCGGGCTCAGGTCGCTAGTCTCCCAGATCACTGGGGAGACTGGCTGAGAGTGTGGGTGACTTCCTAGGGACCCTCCCCGCTGTGCAACATCTCCAAATCTGTGTCCCATAGATTCAGTCTTTAGAGGGGCTTCAGGGACAGGATGGACTAGGAGTCAGGACAGCTGAGGTCCTGCATCAACTGGTTAGAGAGAAACTGTCACTTTCCTGTCCCAAAGTCAGCTTGGGTCACCACGCTTTAGTCACAGCCTCTCCTGGATGTCTGGTGGGGGCTCTGCCTAGCGCGGGGGCGGGGGATCCTCCTCCTGGCTGTCCCCTGGGCTGCTCATCACTTACTCAAGCGAACCGGAGATGGGCAACTGAGGCAGACATTCCAGGAGGCACCTGAGCCCGTCATCACCCAGCATGTTCGCGGAGAGGCTACGAGAGGCAAGAAGGGGTTGGCAGTCCGACGTGCCGCTCAGCCGGAGCCCGCTCTCCACAGGTACCATCACTGCTCCTGGACCCACACAGGACTAGCTCCGAGCCACTGTCGCCGTGACCGGACCGCACCGTGCTCACTCCCACTTCACCGGCATCTCCGGCACCCCCAGAATGATCGCCCAGCACACAACAGCTCCTGCGCTGCCCCCCCAGCACCACAGGTGAGCGGTGCCCCCCTTTCCCTGCAGTGCCTGCTGCCCATGCCCAGGGCCCCCATGCCTCCCGCAGGCTTCCGGCCTCAGAGAAAAACCCATCTGCCTTTACCACGCCCTTGGCTCACAACAGGTGAGAACGGCAACTTTGAACAAGAATAAATCCCAGAAAAAAGAAAGAGGTTTGGAGGCTGGGTTTCCCCAGGAGATTTCCTTCTTTTAATTCAGGAATGCAATATCGGACGGAAATTGTACTTGAATGCTTCCTTTCCCTTCCTTGTGGCTTTCTACGGTTGTGCTACGCTTTCAGAATAATATAATCAGCATGCCCTGGAATGTCTGATTTTTGTCCTGCATCTCTGACCTCATTTTGTCCCCGATGATGACACTTTTGAGGCTTTGTTTGCCTTTTTGGGAGAGGCTTTAAAAATTAAAAATTGGTGGGCGCCTGGGTGGCTCAGTTGGTTAAGCGACTGCCTTCGGCTCAGGTCATGATTCTGGAGTCCCGGGATCGAGTCCCGCATTGGGCTCCCGGCTCGGCGGGGAGTCTGCTTCTCCCTCTGACCCGCCCCCCCCATGCTCTCTCTCATTCTCTCTCTCTCTCTCTCTCAAATAAATAAATAAAATCTTTAAAAAAAAATTAAAAATTGGTTTGTCTCATAAAGCCATTTGATCAAGTAATGTTTACAATTAGAAAAACTTCCCTTTACAATTGAAAGCAGAAAAACCCAAAGACATACTGCTTATTTATCTTTCTAATGTGTGATTTCCATCAGCCCCATTTCTCTTTTTGGCCACATCACAACGGGAATTTAAAGTGTGTGTGTTGTAGACAGCTCTCTTAATGTCCCACTGGTCCTAAGCTGGACGCCTAGTGGTTGTGGGCACAGACTGCATCATCATCCTAGCTGTGTGACCTTGGGCAAGTTTTTAAATCCTCTCTGTCCCTCAGCACTCTCATCTATAAAATGGGGACAACAGTACCTCGAGTTTTGGAAGGATAAAAAGACTACGTAAAGCACTTAGCACAGTGGAGAAGGTGCTCAGGAAGTGTTGCCTGTTTTTATTTTTCTACCCATGAGGGGGTTGTGCTATTTGGGCACCCAAGGCAGGTCACACAGATACCACCTCTCAACAACACGAGAGCCCACGAGGCCCCACCCCAGCTGGCTCCGAGACCCTCCTCAGGCTGAGCCACTGGGTACTTTTAACCCCCTGCCGGGCAGACCATGAGATTCTCCATTTTGGTTCCCATCTGCCAGCAGAGCTCCAATGTCTTGATCATCATGAGGCCCAGGGGCTCCCATAGCCCTTTTGTGAGCTCCTCAAAGTAGATCAAGGGACATACCCTAAACTGGCCCCATCATGGCAAGAGTCGGGAGTGGAAGGGATGAAATGGGTACAGAGAAATTTTATGGATGTGACCCAGGACGTGTCCCAGGCATCCCTGTTAGCCGGCCCTGACAGGGGCTGAGGGCCCGCACACATGCGCACATGCACACGCACACACATCCACCCTTCCAGTGCCACCCAGGCACGTGCTCCCGTGCTCCTCTCCCTCCTCCCCCGCCAACTTACTCCAGCTGGTTGAGGTCTTCACATTTGCTCAGCAACCAGCACAGCGGCTCCACGTGCTCCTGACTGAGGCCACAGCCCGTGAACCTGCTGGAGGAGGGGCCCAAGCCCAAGGAGGGGGCGCTGAGCCACTCAGACCTGCTCTGCCCTGGCTTGTCCTGGGTGTGGCCTCCAGCTCCCAGGGGGCCTCACCCAAGGTTGGATTTTCTGGAACTATCCGTCATCCACCACTTACAACCTCCCACACAGATCCCACCCGGCCCCCCCAGGCTCCATCAGCCGGTGATCCCCGACCAGCCACACCTGCATCACTTGGGAAGAGTCGTTCAAATGCAAACTCTAGGAACCCTGCCCAGACCCACTGAATCAGAAACCACAGGATCTCTAGGTGGTTGATTCAAGCTCATGTTGGACAAGCAGGGTGGGAGGGAGAGAGGAAGGGTGATGCCTGCTCTTGCCTTTGATACTGGAATTGAGACGAAGGAGATTCAGAGGCACAGACTTCCAGTTATAAAAGAAGTCAAGGGGATGGAAAGTACAGCATAGGGAATATAGTCAATAATACTGTAACACTATTGTATGGTGACAGATGGTGACGGTCCCCACCGCGGGGAGCACTGCCCAGTGCACAGAGCTGCCCAATCACTAGCTTGTACACCTGCAACTAGTACTATGTTGTAGGTCAGCTCTATTCTAACAAAAATGAATCAATAAATACATAGCCACCCATAGTCTGTCCGCCCTGGGGCGAGGAGCACTGCAGAACGGCCTGGGTTCAAGTCCCGGCTGCCCCCTTCCTGCCATGTGATCGCAGCTGTGAAGCTTACAGGACGTAATGTGCAGAAGGCTCTAGAACGGTGCCCTGCAGATATTCAACATATCTTGATTCTCCTATTTATGGTTACTTCACAGCTGAGAAGGCTGAGGCCGACAGGAGAAGGGTCCGGCACGAGGTCTCTCGGCAAGCCAGCGGCATCAGTTATTAGAAACATCATCTCTGCGTGCAAAGGTTGCCCTCTGCCCCGTCATCCTGCCTCTGGGGATAACCGCGGAGCACGGGTCCGGGAGCCAGCAGGGCAAGGACACCTGTATCTGGGAGCGCTTCATGCTTTACACATCGTCTCAGTTAATCCTTGCAAACATCCTGCAATATGATGGCTCCCCCTTCAGCTGTGGAAGCTGAGGATCACAGAACGTTAAGGAGCTCGTCCAAGGCGTCAGGCCCCGTGGAGCTGGGATTTAAGGCCTGGTGGGCCACTTATGAAGTCCTTTTCCTTGAACCAGGCCCCTGAACTCTGGTCAAGCCTGACAGGCACTCCTTATTTGCCTTTGCCAAAGCCCGGCCCTCTCTGGACCTCTACTTCTTTATGTTAGAGGAAACAAGTCTGCTTGCTGGGTCCTTTCAAGGAAATGCCCCACGGCAGGCAATCTGTACTCTGTTCTAGGCATCCAGAAGGTGAGTCTACTTGTCCCCAGTATCAACCAGGTGCCAGGGCGCAGTTTCGGGGACTTACCCACAGCATTCGCCTTCCTGCTCCTTGCTAGACCTGAAGTGCAGGGTCATGTGATACAGGGACCTGGAACAGACAGCACCTGAGTCAGCCACCCTTGGCCACAGTCTCAGGATGCCCCTGACTCGGGTCCTCCTGCCTCCATCCTACCCTCTTACACCCGCCAGACAGGGCAAAACCCTCCACGACTAGACCCAGTTGTCCTAGGGCAATGCCCACCTGAGATCCACCTTCTGAATCCGTGGGCACAGGCTGAAGAGATCAGCCAGCAGGAGGGGGCTCTTCGGGGACAGCCTCGTCTCACTTAGCCTGAGAAGGAAAGGAGCGGGGCCTTATGTAGGCAAGTTGGAGCCAGGCTAGAGTGGACAGGCAGCCTGGATGGGCTGGAAGGGAAGGCAAGAGAGGAGAGGGAAGGCAGGCAGGTCAGCAAAGCAATAAGGAGGAAGGCAGGGACTCAAGAGGGACAAATAGGGACTTGGGTTTGAGCTCCAGTTCTGCTTATCGACTGTGTGTCCTTGGCAGAGTCACTTAACTTCTCTAAGCCTCAGCCTCCTTACCGGGAAAACAGGATTACTCATGGTATACCTTCCGCTGGGGTGTCTCGAGGACTTAATTACATCAAGCTGGTGCACTGCCTGGCGCCATACCCATGCTAGTTTTATTATTATATTGTTTCTGCCCTCAAGCACAGACTTAACAGGTAGTCCTGCTGAAAGGAAGTGGGAAACTTTAGGTCCTTGGAGTAGTTTCTGTGATTTGGGGCTAAATAACTCGTTGCTGTTGGGGCTGTCCTGTAGGGTGTTCCGCGGCACCGTAGACCTCTACTCACTAAATCCCATTCATCGCCCTCCCTCTCCCCATCCTCCTCCCCCTGCCATGACAACCAAAAATGTCTCCATGGCCATGTATCACTGGGGAGCAAAATCCCCCCCTTGGCTGGGAACCGCTGTCTTCGAGAAGGTGAGGCGGCCGCATCTTGCCCTCGGAGGCGACCTGGGCACCCCCACTTCCCTTGCCCCCTAAATCCTCCCTCAGCTTGTCTCGTCCGTTCCACTCTCAAGATGCACCCTGAATCGACCTGCTTCCGCCCCAGCCCCACCAACCCCCGGCCCCACCATCTTCGACCCTACACAGCCTCTTCCCTACTCTCATTTCCACTCTTGTCCCCCAACCCCTTCTCTACCCAGCAGCCAGGCTGAGCTTTTGAAAACATACATCACAGGGGTGCCTGGGGAGCTCAGTCGGTTAAGCGTCTGCCTTCGGCTCAGGTCATGATCCCAGGGTTCTGGGATCGAGCCCACTTCTCCCTCTCCCTCTGCCTGCTGCTCACCCCTGCTCGTGCTCTCTGTCAAACAAATAAATGAAATCTTAAAAAAAAACCAAAAACACACACACACACATCACACCTCTGTCTTTCAAGTCCCCTTGGACAAAAACCCCAAACTCCTCCTCATGGCTCTCTTCACCTCTCTCCTCTCTCCACCTCCCCTCCTGCCACAGTGCCCTTCTGGCTGTTCCTTGAGCCCACCAAGTTCAATCTTGCCTCAGGGCCTCCTACATGCTCTTCCCTCTGTTTGGAATGCTGTTCCCTGCTCTTCACAAGGCTGGGTCCCTTTCGTCCTTTGGGTCGAACCTTAGTATCCCTCCTCAGAGGCATCCCCTGACCGCCCTCACCTTTGCGGCACTCTTGACTACATTACCTAGAAAAATACCTCATCACTGTCTGAATTCGTCTTGCTTGCTTATTGTCCAGCTGCCTACTACTACAAGGTAAGCTCCAAGAAGACAAGGACCTGGTCTTTTCTCCCCGCTCTCTGCTGTGTCTCCAGCCCTCCAGCATATGGACTAAGTAGTACAAAGCGTTAGCCCTGGTGTGGGGCAGGCTGGACACCTCATTCCAAAGACCGAGGAGATTTAGGGGTTCATGCTGTGTGACGTGGGCACGGAGAAGTCTCTCCCTGGTCTGGGGTTTCCCACCTGCTCATTTTAGCCTGCCACTCTGTGCGTCCAAAGATGCCCTTCCCGTCGTGGGGGCCGTGCGTGGACGCCAGGTCTGTTGCATCTGCCCACCTCTGGAACGTCACCCTGCTGTTCCTTCCCTTCCCAGTAGGACGCAGGGATAAGCAAGATCCTGGCTGTGAAGTGAGCTGCCTCGGGCGTCCCAGAGAGCCTCAGCATTAGTACTTATGTTGCTGTTATTAACGGTATGATTTAATTTCCCGTTGTATTTTTCCATCCCAGCTGCAGCTGCTTTCCCCCTGCTGGAAGAGTATTTAAAGTAAATCCTTTTTAAATTCTAACCAGTCTGCGCTGAAATTAGAAAGCAGAGTTTTAAATACTTCGGAGGATGCTGCTTCAGTTCCCCTTTGGCGGAGTTAGATGGTGACCTTTCCGTGGGCGAGGAGAAGTACAACAGCCCATTTGCCAGAGACCCTCCATTCTTCAAGGTGCCTGGACAACACCTGTCTTCTGGAGCCCCAACCCTGGCAGAGGGGTTGGGGAATAGGAGTCCCATTTGTCAGATGAGGAAACTGATCCCATAGCACCCCACCCCCCTTCAAGGTTAGTAAGGTATTAGGGAAGAGCTCCCAGCTGTGCCAGATAAAAGAGCCCAAGAGAGAGGAGTAACTGGGAAGGAAGGGATGGGTTTGCAAGCCAAGAGCCTCAGCCCAGCACAGGGAGATGGGGAAACCAGTCTTACTGCAGCAGGCTTAGCTGGGGGAGCTGGGGTAAGTGGTGCAGCAGGGTCTCCAGGCTCTGGTCACTCAGGACCTCACAGGACAATCTGTGAAACAAAGCATCCGAATGAGGCAGGGGAGCCTTGAGGAAAGCTAGGACTGCACCCTCACAGCCAGAGCCCTCTGGACATGGGTGGCCCAACACATTCCCTCCAAATGCCGGGCCCTTGAGTTATCATTGAGGCTGAAGGGAAAGGAAGGGCATACAAGTTTGGAAAGTGCTGCTTAAACCAAATGAAATATAGTTTCCTTTGCAGCAGGACTTCTCAGAGTTTGAGCACGCTGCTGGGCATTGTGACTTCCCCCGGAGCTCTAACACTTTTCCCCAAATGTCACAGACTCGCAGGAGTATTATTTCGAGGGCCCTGGAGATGGGTGCTCTGCAGAAGACACTTGTTAGGAAGAGCAGGCCACCTTGACCCACGGTGAGATAAACAGTGGCCGTTCAGGCCCACAGCCCGTCAGCAAAGGATCCGAGGTGCGAGTTAGCTTGGGTCTCTGGTTGTCCGTCAAAGCCAGACCTACCAGCTGATCACTTGTCTGGATAATCCGTCAGAACCCAGTCCACTTGGGAGAAACTCCAGATACCGGCCCTTTGGGGCCCGCCTGGGCTGCAGGCCTGGGACAAGCAGGGTGCCTAACCGCCCTGGGATTTACAGAGCATTTGCAGGTGTCTGGAGCAACTTCCCCACTCCCAGAGGCCTTTGGGCTGTGTTTTCCTTATGCCTTCTCCCCCTTTGCCCTTTGCTGTCCCTGTTCCTGTCCCCTGCAGGCTGTCTTTCCCCCTCACTGGGCCCTCCAGGGGCCTGGCCCACCTCTACCGTGTTGTCTGCTGGTTGGGGGCGACTGTGGGAAGGTCAGCCTAGGATTCCGGAGCTGCGAGCCTCACGGCGGAACCTCTATGCCCAGGAACCTCTATACCCTCTGTCCCAGGACTGGGCCCCAGGCTCCAAGCGCTGGCAGAACAGGGGGCCTTCGCTGAGGGGTGGTCCGTCCGCAACACCTTCCACATGGTTTCCTTCTGGGCCCGCAGTACACGGTGCTCTGGTTGGGTCAGTGTGGGCTTTACACACTTGCTGTTTTTTTTTTAAGGCAATAGCCACTTTACCCATCACATCTCACATGGAACTCCAGGATGTGCCCAGGCAAAGCAGACCTGCAGTGGTAGAATTTGGGGAGGGGGCCGGAGCTCCATCACCCTCCCTAGCATCTAATTATTGGAGTTCGGCATGAAGTACGTTGATTACGATATTTGAGTACGCAGTCCTAGCACTCTACAGTTGGCAAAGTACTTTCATGCTATTATCCCACTTTTTCTAGCCACAGCTGAGGGAGGGGGGCCCTCAGACCCCCCATCTGTGCACAGAGCCTCCCGCTGCGGTAGCTGAATGACAGCAGGCGGTGATGTCCAACTACACCCTTGTGCCCCCCCCAGGGCCTGGCCCAGTGCCTGGTATACAGGTGGTGCTTAGCAGTTACACGACAGAAGAGTGTTTTCTGCAGCACTGGCTCCCGCATTACTGGAAGCAGCCTGGGCATCCATCTAGACTCTACAGAGGGGTGGCTGAAGGGCCCGTGGCACATCTAAACTGTGGAGGGTTACTATTAAAAGGTACAAATATAAAAAAATACAAGGCACAAACATTCAAATGTTGTGTAAAAATACATCAGAGGCAATCAAGGACAATTAAAAATCCACAGGCTGGGCGCCTGGGTGGCTCAGTCGGTTAAGCGACTGCCTTCGGCTCAGGTCATGATCCTGGAGTCCCGGGATCGAGTCCCGCGTCGGGCTCCCTGCTCAGCGGGGAGTCTGCTTCTCCCTCTGACCCTCCTCCCTCTCATGCTCTCTGTCTCTCATTCTCTCTCTCGCAAATAAACAAAATCTTTAAAAAAAAAAAAAGTCCACAGGCTACTTGATGATTCTAGTATGTCATATAATCATGCTAATATTTTAGGTCTGATCGGAGGGGAGAGGGGATGGGGTCACTGGGTGACAGCCATGAAGGAAGGCGCGTGATGTAATGAGCACTCGGTGTTATATGCAACTGATGAATCACTGACCTCTGCCGCTGAAACCAATAATACATTGTATGTTAATTAATTGAATTTAAATAAAAATATAGAAAAAGAGAAACAACAGACCCCCCCCCCAAATATTTTAAGTCTGATAATGGTTTTGTGGTTATACTAAAAAAATAAATAGGGACGCCTGGGTGGCTCAGTTAAGTGGCCAGCTCTTGGTTTCAGCTCAGGTCACGATCTCAGGGTCGTGAGATCGAGCCCCGCATCGGGCTCTGTGCTCAGCCCTGAATCTGCTTCAGATTCTCTCTCCTTCTCCCTCTCCTCCACCTCACTCCCTCTCAAATAAATAAATAAATAAAATCTTTTTTAAAAAGGGTACTTTTTAGCTACACATCCTACAGTAACTACAGATGAAGTTGAGAGGTGTCTGGGACTTCCTTCAAAATACCATGTATGCATGTGTGTTGGGGCCATGGCATGGTAATTACTGAGGAAGGTAGACGGGGACCTGAGGGTCCATCCCACTACTCGCTCTGCTTTCATATATGCTCCAAAGTAGCCATAATAGTTGGGGTTCTTTTTTTTTTTAATTAGAAAGTAACTTCACAGTGGGGAAATCTGACAAAAACTCCCTCAGCCAGGTGGTCAAGGTCAACATCAACAGCGCTAAGTCCACAGCATGCACCTCTGAGATGGGACGAGAAGGGTACTTCACTTCTGCGGTCTTCTTCCCCCAGACCCAGAACCCCAGTTTACCCAACAGAAAAACATCACACACACCCACACTGAGGGACATTTCACAAAATATCTATTGAAGACTTCTCAAAGCTGCCAAAGTCATGAAAAACAGAGGCTGAGAAATCGTCACAGACCAGAGACGCTGAGAAGAACATGATTCCTAAATGCCATGTGGGATCCTGGACGGGATGCTGGGTCAGAGAAAGGGTCTTAGGAGAAAAACTAGGGGCATCTGAACAAAGCCTGGAGTGTGGTGCTGAATGTAGCAACAAGGTTGGTTTCTCAGTCGTGACAAATGGACCATGACGGGTGATATTAACCACCAGGGACCAGGGCGGAGGAACTCTCTGGACTAGCTTTGCAACTCTTCTGTAAATCAAGCCTTAACCTATTCTAAAATAAACGCTTTACTAAAAAGTTCATGGACTCCACATCCCAGGGAAGTCACGACGTACTGTCCCGAGACAAAAGCTTGCTGTGGAGATCTGACACGGTAAAATCCCGTGTCTGTTAACGATGTCAAAAACCCCTTGATCCGGGTATGTGCGTGCACAAGGAGAGGGGCACGGAAGGACGGACACCAGGTGACCGTGGATGAGCTGCTCATAAGGGCCAGGAGGGCATCAGAGATGGGAGCGGGAAAGCAAGACCAAAGACCGTCGGGAAAACCACGGAGAATGCAGCCCGTCTGTGGCTCTAATAGGCAAAGACTAAACATGCACACAGACAAGGTGGGTCACAGGGACCGACGACAGCACTGACTGGATGTGGAGAAGGGTTGATTTAGGTGAGGCAGGCTTGTCTTGGGTTTCTCTATTGTAAGGTAATTGCTGTAATAAAATGGGAGCAATGAGGACAAAGGAAAAGGGCTGCCCATTTCTGCAGATGACAAAGCGGAGACGCAAGGAGGTAGAGGCACGTGCCCAAAGTCACCCAGCCTGTGGGTGGCTGAGCCGGGACTCCTCATTCCAGGTCCAGTCTCTGGTCACAGACCCGGGGCTTCTGGGCTGGGTGAGTGGGGAACCAGGAAACGGAGGCCCTGAGGGGGGGCCCTCAGAAGTGACATGCCCCAGCTAGGGAGGCAGGCACAGGGGGCGCCAGGGTGGGGCTCCAGGGGTGGAGGGAGCAGACCGGGGCTCCCAGTTGCCCTGAGTTGAGCAGATGGCAAAGGGGAAGCCCCGGGCCCAGCGTAGCCTCTCCTGGTAGAGGAGCAAGGTGCCCTATCGGGACGCAAGGAGGCTGCTACCGATAGCTGAGGGGTGGGGTAGGGCTACAGGGGCTGGGGACCAGGAAGGACTCACCTGGCCTCTAACCAGGACACCCCCACCCCAGGTCACCAGGCAGATGCCCACACTGTGCCCCCTCAGGCTGTGCCCTCCTTACTTACTTGACTTCCAGAGGCCCCGGGCACTTCTCCAGAGTCTCACAGAGGTGGGTGAGGCTCAGGGGCTCCAGCTGACACTGCCTGAGGCTGAAAGGGGGCAGTGGGCCGGGCAGAGGATCAGAGAGGGAGGGCCCAGGGCCCTTGTGCAGCCCCAGGGGCTCTCCCCTTCTCTCTCCACCCCTCCGCCTCAACCTCCAGGCTGCAGGATCCTCCCCTCACAGGGCACACTCTGCACCCCAAGTCTCCCCTACAGCCTGATCCCCACCACTCAGTGACAACAAAGGACCCCCAGTGCGCAGCTGCCCTCGCTCCATTCCAACACCTCCCCACTGCCCCTGCCTGAGTCTGGGCCACCACTGTCACTTGCCTGGACCACTTTAACACCCTTCAACTCCCCTCCTGCCTCCCTGCGATCCTTCTCCGCCTGCCAGTGGCTTATCTTTTAACAGTGCAGTCTGACCACGCCTCTTAGGCGCTTAAGCCCCCTGTGGCTCCCTATTACTCTCAGGCTAAAAGCGAAAGGCCTTTTCCATGGCCTCACTCACCTCCACTGGCCCTGTACATGCCCCAGCCACGCTGACATGCTTCTCAAGAGCTAAGCTTTCCCTCCTCAGCTGACCCACCTGCCTGGGACAGTCCTCCCACTCCTCCTCTGGATAAGCCTGTTTGGGCCCCAGCCGAGGAATCTTTCTTCCTAGGTAAGGAAATCAAGGCCCAGAGAGGGGAGGGGCCCAGCCATGGTCACACAGACATGGCAGAGCTGGGAAGTCTTCTGAGAAAACAGCATGGAATCTTTTCTCTGGGGAGAACGCTGGGCCCGGCAGCCCCCCTCACCAGCCCTCGTACTGGCCCCCTTTCTTTTCCTTCTCTCGAACCCTCTTTCCCCCAGGCCTAGCCCCCAGGCTCTCCTCACTCCCTGACTCTTCACCTGTATCGTGGTTACCCCCCAAAGAGAAGTGGATAAGACAGTACCAGAGGCTCCTGGGGACGCGGGGCTGACGAAAGGCCAAGAATTGGGCTCCAGCCGGGAACTCTGGCAAAGATCCACCAGCCAATCGATCCCTTGGAGTGGGGAGACCATTTTTGAGAGGAACGTTCACATCACGCACATGGGAAGACAAGACACAGAAGTCAGGGCTGAAGGGGGCCTAGGGACGATCCAGTCCCTCCCTGTACAGATGGGGAAACTGAGGTCCATGGAAGGGAAGTCAGAGTGAGAAAAGCCAGCAACTTACACCTGTCCGGGTGGCAGCACCTGGCTAGGACCGGGGGAGCCAGGACAGAGCCCTTCCTCTCTCTCATCATCCCCAGGCTTACATTCTCTAGGCTTTGAAAACCCAGAGAGCTCCCAGAAATGGAGACCCTGGCCCAGGATGCAAGACCACCCTGGCCTTGGGCCACTCCAGCTCCACACAGCCCGGCTGGTCTGGCAATGCTTTCCTCTGATACCTTAGCTAGTGGCCCCACTAGGGGGCAGCTGGGAACATCTGTGCAGAACTAACAATCTGTTGTTTACTGCAAAGGTGTGGAAACTTTTTCAGAACACAAACGGTCCTTGGCTTCTCGAACGCCGTACACTCCGAGTGTGAAGGGCGGTGACTCTTATGAAGTCGGGAGTCTGCAGAGGTCTGCAGAAGTCCTGAGGGGCAGAAGCCTAGCCGCCCTCCCTCCCACTCAGCAGCCCCGAGCGGGCACCTGTTCCGCCGCACTGCCCCCCCATCTCCCTCCCCGACTGCCCTGCCTCCTTTCCAGAGCTAAGCGGATGATTACTGTGAATGGAGGGACACAGGGGTACATCTGCAGAAGGGGAGCCAGACCTGGGTGGGCTACTCTAGGGCTAACAGTGGTCAGCACAGGGCTGGGGTTGGGGGGACCTGTAGGAAATGGAGGCCAGGGGAGAGGGGAGTCCATCCTTCCCCCCTCGGAGCTCTCCCTCCTCACCTGCCTGTTCTGTCACCTCTCAGGACAACGTGCTGGCTCTCAGAGCTGCAAACAGAGAGGAAGCAGCAGTCTGAGACAGACAGACAGCCTGGTCGTGGAGGGCCTGGAGGGCGGCCCACTTTCTCAGCAAATATAACAATATTCATACTAAGCATAATGACACGGACTGAAGCACATACAAAGCACAGCACTGCCAGGACCTCCTTTTATGCTCACGATAATGGTGTGAGGTAAGAACTGTTCTTACTCTTCCTTAACAGATGAGGAAATGGGTACAGAGAGGCTCAGTGACCTGCTCAAAGCTGCACAGCAGCTAAGTGGTGCGCCTGGATTTGAACCTGGTCTGTCTGTGCCCACACCTCCCACTCTTGGAAGGGGAAAGTGGGGGGAATGGGCAGACCCCACTGAAACCACGGCTCATCTGCCCGGCTTGGCCCCAGGCTGCCTGGCCAGGTGGCTTCCCTTCTAAATTCTCATCAGCTCCAGAGATCCCATGATCGAGACTGGTCCTCGAGCACTCAGCCACCATCAGGGAGCTTCCGGTTTCTGTAAAGGTCTCCCAGGACAATCCACAGAGTGAGCAAGGGAGAGTCGCTGGATCGTGTCCCATGTCAAACTTGGAGAGATGGGAGTGTCCTGGGGCTACTTTCATTCAACCGTCCATTCATTCATTCAGCAGACACCTGTCACACGCTCACGGGGCCTGGTGCCATGCAGGGCCCCGAGGAGGTGACACTGTGAACAGGACAGATGAGGAAGGTGGTGGGAGCTGATGGCCCGTGGGGTCAGAGGGCAGGGCAGGGCAGGGGCCCAGAGGCACACTCACCTGATGTCCAAGTGGAGAAGCCACTGCAGAGTTGAGAAGCACGGGGTCAACATGAACACCGCATCCAGGGACAAACTGTTCTCACTGAGGCTGGACAATCACAGGGGTGACACTGATGGAACTCACCCAACTCAGAAACGCCCTCTTTGTGGTCAGAGCCCAGGGCAGGGGAGGGCTGTTCCTGAGTCCAGATGACAGAGCTCACTGAACCCCAAATGGCCAGAGGGCACCTCTTCTAACTCCCCATTGTACAGATGGGGAAACTGAGGCCCAAAAAAGCAGCAAGGTCTTGCCCAAGGTTATGAGACATGCTGACGACAGAGGTGAGATTAGAACTCTGGTTCTCTGGGTCTGCGATGAATCTGGAGAGTGCTTTCAGGCTGGAGTTGTGCCTCAGTTTCCCCACCTGATAAAAAGAAGGGCAGTGCCCATTGCAAAATGAAAATGCAGGGGCTCTTGTTCAAAAGGCAGGGACAAAGCTTTGCCTTTCTTTCGGGCCTGTCAATCTGTCATAGTGTTTCCTATTCACCATGTAATGCTGCAGTCCTCTGGCCCAGGTATGGGTAGGTGAGCGAGGATCTCACAGGTTGGGGGGCTCAGACTACTTCACAGTATTGAGATCAGGTCACATGGGTATTTGCCGCCAAGCACCAATCTACATATGATTTGCCTACAGTGGTGAGGCCTTCCTCCCTACCCACAAGCAGGCCCAGAACAGGAACAAAGGTAACCCCTTCTTCCTAGATGCCCCACGAAGACTGAGCAGGAAGGGCCCTCTGGCTCCAGCACTCATTCTATAGCTGTAGCCCAAACCAAAGCCCCCTCCCCCTTATATTTTAGGTGTTCCCTGGGAAGCCGGGGCCCAGAGAGGTGATGGAACTTGCCTAAGGTCACACAGAGAACCTAACAGTTGTGAGCTCTCTCCAGGGCTCCTCTCACTTTAGCCCCGAAGAGCTCAGGAGAACAAGAGTATGTGGGAGCCCAAAACACAGGGGCCTTCTAGCATCCGGAAACTCTGGTCTATTGCAGGCAAAGTCTGGAGGCTCCTGGTCCCCTCCCAGGGCCTCCCTCCCGCACTGAACATCTCCCCGCTCTCTGCTCTCCAGCTGCCCTGGGCACCCTGCTCAGGCATCTTGTCTGGTACACATCCTTCCTATCCAGCCTGTATCCTAGCAACAGCCCCTCCCTGCAACCCAGGGCCAGAAGGGCTGCCAGTCATTAGGGTAACTGACCGTTAGCTAACGCTTCCCGCCCATGCTTGCCCTGCCCCAGGTGGCCTGGGCCTCCCAGAGAGCCCATGCAGAGCCACAAAGTCAGGTTCAAGAAGTAAAACCTTAGGTCAGCAGCTGGATCACTGAGTCCCAGAGGCTCTCTCAATGAGACTCACAGCAGCTAACTACCCTTTGTGAGCACTTACCACGTGCCAGGGACTGGACCAGGCGACAGACATGCGTTTTCTGATTTAATCTTTACAATAACCCAGGAAGGAATGAGACAGGACACAGAACACCCCCTCCTCACCGCCCCCACCCGTCGTCCTGATGAGGACAAGCGTCAGAGGCTTTGTCTAGTTGGCTACTCACTCCAAGGACTGCAGAGGTCCCAGCCCTGGGAGCAGCTGGGCCAGCTGGGCTGCGCCTTCGTCCCCCAGAGCATTGCCTGAGAGGCTGGGAGGGGTGAAGGGGGAGAACAGGTTAGTGGAGGGTGGGCGTGGGGCCCGTAGGAACTCTGTGTCTCCACCCCTGGGAGACAGCTTCTCCTGAAACTGGTACCCGGCCCTGGGCTACCAGACCAGATCTCAGCAGATCTCACACGGGTCCGCTGGAGTTTCCCCCACGCTTTCTATCCTGAGGTTTGTGACCTTTGGGGGTCGGGGAGGGGCTTCAGAGGGGGTCATATGTGGGGACGTGCATTTTAGGGGGAAGGGTCACAACCCTCCCCGGACTCTCTAAGGGGTTTCTTTTTCTTTTTCTTTTTTTTTTAAAGATTTTATTTATTTATTTGACAGAGAGCGACACAGTGAGAGAGGGAATACAAGCAGGTGGAATGGGAGAGGGAGAAGCAGGCTTCCCGCGGAGAGGGAGCCCGATGTGGGGCTCGATCCCAGGATCCTGGGATCATGACCTGAGCTGAAGGCAGACGCTTAATGACTGAGCCACCCAGGCGCCCCTAAGGGGTTTCTGATTGCAGCAGGGAAACACCGCTGATCGCAATCTTAAAAAAAGTCAAAACAAAACCCCCCACACCAACACCCACGGCCCGCTGGGCTCCACCCATCCGCCCTCCACCAGCAATTACTCACTCCAGGTGGCCGAGGTGGCAGCTTCCTCTCAGCGCCCTGCAGAGCTGCTCGAGGTGCTTGGCTTGCAAGCCGCAGTGTGTCAGCCTGCGGAGGAGGAAACACAGCCCCTCAGGACAGAGGCCACAGCGGCCACCGCCCCCAGGCACACAGGGACGCACGAACACACAGCACGCACATAAGACCTCCTGCACAGGCAGTCAAGAGCTAGAGAGAGTCAGAGACACAGGGAGACCAAGATGGAGAGACACTGGGATGAGAGACAGAGGAGACGGTTGCAGAGACACATACGCACGCGCACGCACGCATATGGGCCTATGCACGCACGTGCATGCACTTACACATGCACGCGCACATACACACACAGTGCCAGGGGAGGACAAATAGACAATGACAGAAAGGGCAGCAAAGCCAGAGAAACAGAAAATATGAGAGAAACAAGGAACAACAGAGACAGACAGGGAGATTCAGATGGACACAGAACAAGAGAGAAGGCCAGCAGAACATCGACGGGAGCCCTGCGGGGGCTGAACCCAACCCCAGGATGAGGGAAGAAGGTGCCACATGTCCCCAGTCTCTCCATCCAGAGTCCCCACAACCCATCAGCTGCTGGAGGCCAGGGGAGCTAACAGGAGTGGGCGCCCCCTGGGTGGGGAAGGTCACTGAGGGGGCTGCCCCATGAGCCCCGTCTCTGGTGGGCTGAGCAGGGGAGGTGGGAGGCAGGGAAGCCAGGCCACAACTCCTGGATACGGCAGGTTGTGTCCTCCAGGGAGCCCCTGGGGCTGGAGGCCTGGGGAGAGGCTTTGAGCAGAGGAAGGGAAGAGGTAGGAACCACACAGGGCCGGCAGGCCATCTCTGCACCTGATTCTCGTGGGGCGCAGGGGCAGCTCAGAGGGCATCCGGCACGTCAGGCTGACCCGAAGCGCAGCCCTGGAGGGACACATACCATGGCCAGGCTGAGCACACTCCCCAGCCACTGTCTCCGAGTCCACCCTCAGCCTTACCTCCCGCCCTTCAGTCTCTACATGAGGCCTGGAGACGGCCAGACCCTGGTTCCACCTGGGCTTCTTGGCTTCCTGGCTGTGTGACCTGGGACAAATCACGGAGCCTCTCACTGGGACAAGGTATGTGAACTGCTTTAGTGTGGTGTGTGCCTGAGGGAGCCAGAAGGTTCTAACCAAAATCAGAGCTACAGGCCAAGCGCTCTGCAAATCCTTGGGGTTTATGCTGAAGGACCTCAGTGTCTGGCGCGTGGCTCCCGGCTACCCCGCCCCCCACCCCAGTCGGCCATCCTGCATCACAGGGAAATGGGGAGGCAGTCTGTCCTGTGACAGTGCCCCTCTGGGCTTCATCCCTTGCCAAGCCTGCTGGCTTCCTGCTCCTTTGTGAATTTGTCTAGGTGTTGAGTGATGAGAGTTGAGTGATGCTGTCCAGCCGTGGAGGTCAGGGAGGGTCTGGGCCTGGCTCAGCACAGGGCCCAGATGATGGTGGGCCCTACCCCTTCCGGATCTCCTTCAGCTGCTCCTGCTCTGGGGCAAACGTGAAGACCACAGTTTTGTACAGCACGCTGCAGAGAGAGAAGAGAGGAAGAAGGAGACAAGACGCTTACGGGGGTCTGGGGGCCATTTTCTAACTTGGACTGGAGGGACCGCAGAAGTACCATCCCCTGCCTCTAGGTGTGGCTACTTCCTCCGACTCTGCTGTGACTTCCTGAGCTTTCGGGCACCTGAAATATTTCTACCACAGAGATTTTGCAAACTTATCAACCCTCATTTCCTGGAAAGCCCTTGAAAGAAAACTTCCGTTCTGCCTTTTCTCTCTCAGGCTGAAACCCTCCTTGAGGCCTCTGCTGTGTGCTCACCCCAGTTCAGGGAGATCACTGCCAAGGTCACTGCCAGAGGTCACTGCCAGCTCCAGGACAGGTGCCGACAGTCTACACGGGGCTTTAACTTACAGCAGGAGCATCCTTAACCTTGCCGGTGTAAACTGAATATTAAATACTCTTTCTTCCTTCTTTTCTTTTCTTCTTTCTCTCTCTGTCTCTTTCCTTTCTTTCTTTCTCTCTCTCCTCTCTCTCTTTCCTTTCTTCCTTCCTTCCTTTTTAAAGATTTTACGTATTTATTCGAGAGAGAGTGAGAGAGAGAGAGCACAAGCAGGGGGAGGGACAGAGGGAGAAACAGGCTCCCCACTGAGCAGGGAGCCCGATGCGGAGCTCGATCCCAGGAACCCGGGATCATGACCTGAGCCGAAGGCAGCGGCTTAACAGACTGAGCCACCCAGGCGCCCCCTAATACACATTTCTCATCGCAGAGTTCATACTTCTTCCATGTGGAGAACTTAGAAATTATAGTAAAGTAAGAAGAAAATAAAGAAAAATCACCCACCACCTCTTCCATCTGTCAATGATGGCTGATAACATTTGGGAATGGGTTCTTTAGGTCTTTTGTTTTTAAAATGCAACTAATGTTCTTTCTTTTTTCCTTCTTCTTAAAAAATGGGATTAAAGGACAGATTCTTGTTTAAAAATTAGTTTTTCAAGGGATAGCTGAAACAAGGGTGACAAAATGTTGATAATTATTGGTGGGAACTGGGGTGTTCACCATTCTCCCTCCCCTTTGAGTATGTTTGGGAAACTTTACTATAAAAATGGTGAATTAAAATTATACTGCAGTCATCGCTCTAGACTAAAATTGTACCTATATCATCACTTTTCATTGAGTTTTTCTCTCTGAAGGTAACTCAGTTTACTTACCTAATATTCAACTGCTATATACTTAAGGTATGTTCATTTTTCCCTACTATAACTAATACTGAGGTGAACATTCCTGTATCTAAATGTGTTTGCACCAGCACGCTGACTTCTTTAGTGTAAATCCCTAGAAATGAACGGAGCACCATTTGGAATGAGCTAAGGATCCTTTATTGGATCATTATATACAGTGAATCAAGGTCCCCTAATCTCTCTTTTGGGTTAACCAGTGTCTCTCTCCTCCTTTGAGGGGTGTCTAAAGCAGGGACTGCCCTACTTGGTTAAGAGCCCCTCTGGGTGGGGACTGTGTTGACATTAATTAGCATCTGCCCTCAGCTCCCCAGACTGAATCCTGAGACTTAACAGAAATAAGGTTGGGCCCTGTCTCGGGTCAGGTTCCCTAGAAGCAGAGCCTGAGCCTCTGAATGGGGCAGAGAGCCAAGTTTCACTTGATCACTTGTGTATGGGATGTACTGAGGGCCTGCTCTTGGGAGAAGCTGGTAAGGGACCAAGGGAAGCAGAACAGAGCAGGTCTTCGGCCTGATCCCACAGGGAGCTCTGGAGCATGAAGGGCACCAAAAGTTTGTCCTACCCGAGGCCAGGGGGCTGGAGAGTGATGCCTCTGCCTCGGTCATGGGCCACTCCTGGTTGGGGGAATTCGGAGGGTAACCACCCAGGCGCCACTGGCTCCTATCGGCCCCAGGGTAGTTTCCTGGAGAAGGTATAAGCTGAGAGCAGCTGGGAAAAGAGGGTGTGGGCAGGGCTCCAGCAGCATCTTCAGGTCCCAAAGGCCTGGCCCAGAAAGAATGCTCAGGTCTTAGAGAGAATGGTGGGAGAGCCCCGGAACTCCAGGCTGGAGGCAGGAGGGGGTAACAGTGGTCCACTGGGAGGTCCTACCTGATGTGCAGCTCGGCCAGGGTCTGGCACGTGCTCACCGCCCTCAGCACACAAGGCACCCCGTCGACAGAGAGCCGGTTGTCGCTGAGGCTGTGGGGGAGGGGGGTGGCGGTCAGGCAGCTCAAGTCCCCAGGCCTAGACAGCTCCAGTCCCCTCCTCCTGGCACACAGTAGCTTGCTGGCTGTCACTCTGTGGATGTCCTGGGTCCTTAACCAGGGTGTCTCGAAGGATTCTGGCCCACGTGGATGAGCCAAGAGCTGCATGACCTCGCTGCCCCACTCAGAGAATAAGGTTCTACAGCTTGAGTGAGAAGAACTGACTCACCGTTTTCACCTCTCTGAGCCTGTTTCCTGGTCTGTCAAATCACCACCATTTTAATCCCATTTTACAAATGGAGAAACTGAGGCCCAGAGACATTAAATGATGTTAAGGCTACTAAATGACAGTCAGGACTGAACTCCCAAGGCAAGACCCCAAACCATTGTTACTCAACCTCAACATTCCCCTACCCGACCCACGCTTGATGCTAAGACCTCAACACATCCCACCCAAACACCACCCCACCCAGTACCGTGTAACACCATAGCACGTCCAGCAGCCTACTACCCTTTCTTTCCATCCCACCCCCCCAACAACCCACCCCTTTACCTCGGGGCACTGTGCCCCCACCCTAACATGCCTCTTCCCACTCTAACACCACAAAACCCACCCACCCCAAACCCTAACGAAACACCCAGTGCAACATCCCACCACACCCCAGGGCTGTTGCAAGGATGAACTGGAACACAAGCCACTGATGTACGAGGAACACGCTCTACACACCCAAGGGGTTTTAGTAACTGGAACCGAGACAGAGGCAAAGGCAAGTCATGGGCAGACTGCTCCAACTTTGCTGGTGTTGGGGGAGAGCAGGTCAGTGGAGAAGCACTAGGCCACTACAGGACCTGGTGGTGGCAAGGACCAGTGGGGCTCTCTCTCCAGGGCTCCCCCCCATCACCCAGTAGTGACGCTGGCAACTCACTCCAGACTCCTGGTGATGTGCAGCTGAGATGCGGCCTCTGCCATCAGTCGACAGCCTTCATCGTCCAGCTGGTTTCCTGAAAGGCTGAGACAGAGGGGCCCGATGCCTTGTGCTGGTGGGGTGGGGTCCCCCCTAGCCTCTGCACTCACACAGTCCCTCCTTGACTTTAGCCAAAGCAGCACTCCAGTAAATGAGCCCTAATAATGATGGATGCTGCAAGGCTGTGTATGACGTGGCCTGCCCTGTCCCAGCTGCTTCTACCATTACTGGGCATTTAATCCTCATAAGGACCCTGTGGAGCAGGCACTATTATTATCCTCATCTCATTGATGAGCAAACCAAGGTTTAGAGCGGTTAAAGCACCTCCTGAAAGGCAGACTTGGGATTTGAACCCAGGCAGCCTGATTTCAAGGCCCCACCCTCAGCTGCTTTTTTATGCTTCAACCTGCGTAATTGCTTCTTATGATAAACTCCATGGTTATAGGGGCATCAGATCTACCATGGGGATCAGGGAAGGTTTCCCTGATGTTTGAACTACTTGCTTGAAAAACTAGGAGCTCAGTAGGTAAGGGGTGGGAGAGAAATGGGGGAGGGTGTTCCTGGTATTGGGAATGGCTCATTCAAAGGCCCTGGGGCATAGCTCACTGGCGGAGCTGAAAGGGAGACAGTGTGTCAGGATCGAAGATTTCAGTGGCAGGACAGGGTCAGATGGGCCTTGGTGGGTTGGAGGCAGCATTTTAGATCACACAGGATTTTAGGATTTGGCCTTCACTATGAGCAATGGGAAGGAGTAAAGGGGGGGGGCAGGCAGCAGTGAAATGTAGTTCACTCTCTGCCACGTGGAAATGGCCAGTGTGGAAGCAGGAAACCCCAGTGAGGAGGCTGATGGGGTCATCCAGGTGAGGAGTGAGAGTGGTTCGGACTGGGGAGCTGGATGAAAAGAGGGTGGTGTTGAGAACTATGTAAGTGGTAGGTGGACTTGGGATGGGCTGGCTATGGGGGGAGGGTAAGGGAGCTGAGAGATGTCTGGTCTGTGTAGGCAGATGGGTGATGGGGCCATACTGTGGGTGAGTGCACCTGGGGCAGGTAGGGGGTGGTCAGGCTTGGTGATACCCAGCTGGGTGGAAGCGTGTGTTTTGTAAAAACACCTTCTAATCCTGTCTTGGTTCTCCCAATGGGACAATGTCAAGGCTCAAGCTTTGGTCACCAAGGCCCTCACCCATTCATCTTTCCCTAGGGTGAGGCCACTCACCTCACAACACCTTATGGCATTCCATCACTCCACCCTCACACCCATCTGATTTCCTGGGAAAGTCCTAGCAGGGATCCCCTCCTGGGGACATGACAGGACCTCTACCAATCCCCAAGCCCTACTCACAAAGGAGCTGGGCGTTAATGGAATTTCTCCAGCCCCAAAAGAGAAGGCAGTCTCACTCTACTCTGGGAGGAAGACAGGGGAGGGGACTCTGAAGGCTGTGGTTTGGAAGACAGGCGTGATGAGGTCTCCACTTTGCAGCTCTCAATAACACTGGTTACAACGACGAGGCCGGTAAGAGTCAGACTGTCTGAGCTTGAACCCTGGCCTGGACTCTTCCTAGACGTGTGACCTTGAGCAAACTTAACCTCTGTGTTGCTTAATTTCCTCCTCTATGAAGTGTGCATAGTAATAATACTTATATCACAGAGATGGGAAGATTAAATGAGAGGATGTATGCAAAAAAGCCTGGTCCAGGGCAAGTGCTAAACAGTGGTAGCTGTCATGATGGTCTGAGTTCCCCAAATTCTTAATGAGGCAGCATGCCCTTCCTTACACCATGCACCCAAAGTGGAGGCCCTTCAGACACTGCCCTGCCCACCCCCCATCTCCCATCCCAGCACTTCCCGTGATACTCACTCTACTTCGTCCAGGCAGGGGCCTTCCTGGAGCTGGGCTATGAGTTCCTGCACGTCATGGACCCTGAGCTGACACTGCTGGAGCCTGGAGTGAGGCAGAGGGGCTCAGGGCAAGAAGCTAGACCAGACCTCCTCCAGCCCGAAGGGCCACCGCCAGGTGTGGGAGCTGGGGGAGTCAGGAAGCAGACAAACCTGGGGTCTCATCCTGGCCCTGCTTCTTAGTAACTGGACAATCTTGGACAAGGCCCTTGGCCTCAGTATCCTCCTCTATCAAATAGGAGTAATAAAGTGCACTTGGCAGGGTTTTTGAAAGAATTACAGTGAGGTAATGGATATAAAATGGATATAAAATGGATATAAAATACTACTGTGCCCAGTATGTAGCAAGGGCCCATTAAATTAGTTGTAATTACTGTTGTTATGGCCGATGCTCCTTATTCAGGCCAGGATGGGTTAAAGTCCTTTCTCTGCTCCATGCCTGTTTTTCCTTTTATCCTCCTTACCCCTGCTCTACCTCTCCTCGGAAGGTGCCCTCCCCCCATATCACATCCCTCCCCTTAAGGCAATTGAGCCCACTGAGGTACCTGAGTGTCAGGCTTCTGCTCTCAGCCTCTTTCCTCTGGCCAGCATTTCCCTGTAGGTCTGGCGCTCTGGCAAGAACAAATCCAACATTGGCCTTGTCTTAGATTCCAGGGCCTGAATGTTTGGAGGCGCTAAAGGTGCATTTCAGAAAAGCAGCAAGAGCAAAAGGTTTGAGGGCAAATAGGCTTTATTCCAAATTCTGGCCTTGGGCAAGTCACTTCACCTATCTGAGCTTCCATGGTCTCTTTCCTTTTTTTTTTTTTAAAGATTTTATTTATTTATTTGAGAGAGAGAGAATGAAAGAGAGCACATGAGAGGGGAGAGGGTCAGAAGGAGAGGCAGACTCCCTGCCGAGCAGGGAGCCCGATGCGGGACTCCATCCAGGGACTCCAGGATCATGACCTGAGCCGAAGGCAGTCGCTTAACCAACTGAGCCACCCAGGTGCCCTCCATGGTCTCTTTTCCAAGATGGGATGACAATATCTAACACAGAGTGACTGAAGGATTAAAATGAAACGATGTACGGTCAAGCGCCCAGCACGGGCACAAAATTGAAGCTTAGTAAAAAGAAGCTGCTATTTCTATGTTGTGAAGCTCTCCATTTGTATACGTGCCACCTGTGGTTCAAAAGCCTGGGAGCATGGACTGTGTGTGGGTCCAGGCTGTGGGAGCCACGGCACCTCCAGGCTCTCTCCCACTGGGCCAGGGAAGGGGTTGGGGCTGCAGAGAAGCTGGAACATCATTACCCGGGTTTTCACAGACCTCTAGACTGGCGTTGTCCAACGGAACTTTCCGCGATGATGAGAATGTTTTGTATCTGTGCCATCCACTGTGGGAGACACTAGTCTCCCATGGCCACTGAGTACCTAAAATACTGCTAATGTGGCTGGTAAACTTAAATGTTCATTTTACTTAATTCTAACTAATATGCCTCTAAATAGCCACATGTGGCTAGTGGCTACCATATTGGGCATCATAGCTCTGTACAGCTGGAGGGGAAGAAGACTTTGGTCCTACTAGATTGTTGTATGGGGGAGGAAACTGAAGTTCAGAGCAGGGAAAGAACTTGCCCAAGGACATATAACATCATCTGTCTGTGAGTCTCAGCCAGGGAGGAGTGTGAATAAGTCCAGCTGGAATGTTCTCTCATGGAAAGGCTGCTTCCCTTTCTTTGCCCATGCAGGACAAGCCAAGCTGGAATCCATGCACAGCTGGATTAGCCAGCATCTGAGTGCCACCTGGATGTCAGCAGTGTTTTAAGCACCTGCAATGTATTAATTCATTTAATCCTCAGAGTAACTCTGAGATGTGGGTATCATCATTGCCTCCCTCCCGCTTTTTTTTAGATGGAAGAGTTTTCTGGAGCTTTCCCCACATATTAACACCAATCTAACAGTATATTCATGCCTTCCCTAAGGGTCTGACTTGCTCTGAGATTTCTGGGGATGCTCCCCCACCACAGGAACCAGACGTGGTCCAGATATGCTAGAAGAAGGTAAAGTCCTTGCCAACTCTGAAAAGAAAGCCATTTCTCAGGCAGCCATAGCAAGAAGAATCCCCACATTCCAGCTCTTCATAGGCTCTCCTGGCTACCTTACTCTGCTACTGCTTGAGCCCAGACTGCTCCTCAGAATGAGCCCAGACCCATCCCCTCCCTAGGTTCTTACCCTTGCAGCTCTGCAGCAGTCTCTGCGGGCGGGGAAAGAAGGAAGATGAGCTCCGCCTCCCTGCAAAAGTCAGACACTGAGCCGTGAGACCAGTGGTCTGGAAACCAGCACATCACCCGCTGCCTGCACACCCCCTGCAGCCCCAAACATCCAGAGAAAGCTGATTTTATTATAACCGACAAAGAAACAACTGGCAGAAATGCCCCAAATCAGACAAGGAAAATCTGTGACTATGTCGTTGCTCGATGAATCCCGAGAGTATTCTTTAAAAGTCAGGAAAACAATATTTACAGAGAAGACTTTAAAAAGTTAGGAATGCAAAGAGTTTTTGTGGGAGTTACAGTATTTTAGGGTTAAGACGCATGGCACTTGACCCACTCCGTAATCCAAATAGGTAACCCCAGTTCAGCACCACGGAGAGCAACTTGCGGCTAATGATTCTTTCGCTATGCTTCCTAGATGCGTTGACTCATTCCTTCAACCCTCCGCCCATCTACCCATCCATCATTCTACTCAGCACTATCTACTGAGTGCCAGGTGCCAGGCCTGAGCTAGGCTCTGGAGATACCCATGTGAATAAAACAGATTCAGGCACACAAGCGTAGCTATTGCAGACGCAGTGCTCCATTTCCCACTCCCTACCTTCCCCTCCCCTTTTCTCAAGCCTCTGAAGGCCCAGATTCCACTCCTTCGGCTCACCTGACCTGCAGGGTCCTGACAGTAGGGCATGCGACTGCCACTTTTGTCAAGCAGAGTAAGGTTGACACGGAGACATTGTTGCGGCTCAGGCTGCAAGATTGTGGCAAGGGTATCAGGAGTGAATCCTGTATCCCATGGGCCCCAGACTTTTTTTTGCTCTCCAGGGGAGGTGGGTAGCTCAGGCAGGGGTGGGGGTGTGTGGAAAGACGGCTTACTCAAGCTTCTGGAGCCGTGGCAAACAAGGAAGTACTTCCACGATGTTCAGCACAGCCCAGTCCTTGAGCTGGTTGTCCTGAAAGCTGCAAGAGACCAAGGTCCAGTCCCTCAGCCATGGAGTTGGGGGCCTTGGGAGCCCCAGTTGGCAGGTGACATGGCTGCCCTCATGGAGGAGACACAAGTCATAGGCCCACAATGGGTTGGTAACCTGCTCCACAGTATCCAGTAGGCCCAGCTAGGAGGAGAGTACCTCTGCTGGCCTCACTTCTGTCCCTATTCAGCCCCAGTGGGGGAGTTCCTGCCTAGTGGCCCAAGATGATGGGCTGTGAAGGCCTCATGAGGTGGAATGAGAACACCCAGCACACTGCTCTCAGGGCTACGTCTGGGATGTGCCTGAGGCCATCTTGTTTATTATGGCCTCTTGGCTCTTGGGTGATGAGCAGAGTCTAGACTGGGATACAAGAGATGCTGTTTCCAGCCCCAGCTCTGGCCTTGACTCACCCAGAACCTTAGGCCAAGCACATTTCTTCTGACCTCACATTCTTCATCTGTCAAATGGGGTCCACAACCCAGCCCTGCCTGAGTTCCTAGCCGGAGGGACAGAAGTACGAGGGTACCTTTGTGCAAGATTGCTCTGGTTAGTGCAGAGGTTTGGAAATGTGAACTTGTTGACACTTATTTCCCCCTGATCATAGAGAGTGACGTTAGTCTTTTCTCCTATCAGCCAGTGATCCCACAGAAAGGCACCCAGCTGAGGGGATAGGAGCTGTGGTCCAGCTAACACTCCACTCAACAAGCAGGATGACCTAGTGCCAAGCTGCATGTCTCTGGACAAAAGGGTGCCTTTCTAAATCTCATAAAGGTGCCATATAAACTAGTGGTGGTTCTGCCAATGAGCTGCCGAGAAGGCTCCCCGGCCCCACCCCTCTTAGGCTACTCATCACAAACACAGGGCAGGAATATATTTGTGGACATGTGCTCAGTTAGCATGTACTTGCATCTAAATGTGTATGTGGATCTAAGTGTGCACAGGTGTGCACACACCTATGAATGTGCCAGTGAGGGGAACATATTTAAGTGAGCAGGCGAGTGCAAGCGTGCACACATGTGCACGAGTGTGAAGGTATATGTTTCATGCATTTATGCGTACCCACTGTGCCTGACACCTGCCTACACGCTGCCATCCCTTCTCTCAAGGTCACAGAAAGATGGGGAAGGGGCCTCAAAGTTCAAAGTCCTTCAAGACAGCCCAAAATATTAGATGAAGGAAGCGGTGCTCGAGGGTCTCTGGAAGCCTTGTGTTTGGATTCAGACCCATCCAGTTCTTGGACCAATGCCTCCCCTCTCTGGGTCTCACTGAAAAACTGGCCAGATCCTGATGGGAAATGCAGGACTCATTACAGGCTCTGGGGTGGGGGTGGGGAGCCCAGGGACCTAGGAAGTGACTTGTCCCCCTTAGCCAGCAGGTCATCTTGGAGATCACTCACCTGACCTCTTCCAGCTGTGGACAGAGGTGCAAAGCCTGCACCAGGTGGCTGATGCCTCGGGCAGTGATCTTACTTCCTGCTAACCTACAGGGTAAGCAAAGGTGGTGGGAAGGAATGGGGGTGGGAGAGGGGGCAGGCCAGGAATCTGCCCTGTGCAGGGTCAAAAGGAGAGGGGAGAGTTCCAGGCATATCCAGCTGAGGATCCCTCTTGGACCCAAGCCCTGGCTCACCCCAGCTTCTTCAGGCTCCCCATTGTCGGCAGGCTCCTGGAGAGGGCTTCTGCAAAGGCGTCCCCACATTTCCTGCTCTTAAAGCTGCCACAGGAAGAGGCAAGGTAGCAGAGGCTCAATGCTGAGCAGGGCTTAGAAGCCATCACCCATCCCTTCCTCTGACAGATGGAACTGAGTAGTTATGTTAATAGTTATAGTAGTAGTAGTAGCTCTTGTTTGTAGTAATAACAAACACGGATTATGGCAGAGACTGCTAACTGCCCACTGAAACCCATTCTCCGTGGATAGAACTCTAACCGGGAACATGGTTTCCCAGTTACAGGCGGCATTTCCAGCCTCCCGTGCAGCTCAGAGCAGCTATGCAGCTATGTTCGCACCACTGGAATGTGAGCAGAAGGGATGTGCCCCATCTCGGTGTGTGTGGGCTTTAACACACGGGGTACGTCTAAGGCGTGCTCCCCTTCCCTTCCCCTAAGCTAGAGCACGATATGCCCATGACCCAGCTTTGACCATGCAGATCCAGGTGCCCAAGGAGATGATGGAACATCAGTGGAAGGGACCTGGGTCCCTGCATGACCACATGGAGCTAGCCATCTCAGAGACCCGGACCACTTACTTCTGAGTGCTCCATAACAGTGAAACAAAATTCAACATTATTTAATCCACTGTATTTGGGGGTGCGGGGTGGGTTCTCTCAGCCTCACCTTTTCTCTCGCTATTATTGCATATACTAAGCCTTCACTGTGCACCAGGCACTCCCCAAGGAGGGTTTTCCTGGCATTCTCTTACCTGGCTCTCACAACAACCTCACGTAGTGAGGATTATTACTGACTCATTTTAGGGAAGAAACTCAGGCTGAGAGGTTAAATAACCTGCCCAAAGTTAAACCACGTCTGGAGTCAGAGGCTCCAGCCCATGGCTGAGAGGGAGAGAGACTGAAAGCCCAGCAACCACAAGAGCAGTGTCCAGTTGAGAGCCAACTGGACCCTAAGGTCTTGGGAGGAAGGGAGCTTCGGCACCAGCTCTCCGGCTGAGGGACAGACAGTCTGAACTATCTGTTCCGATGTTCGAGATTTGCACCCAGGCTCCTGCGGGAAGGGTCTGACCGACTCCACCCTCCCGAAGCCCAGTTCCCTCCCAGGTCCTCCCCAGTCCTCCCCAGTCCTCCCCTGACCCTACTCTCACCTGAGATTCTCTACCTGCTTACAGCCTGCCAGGGCCTCAGGGCAGTGGGGCTCCAGGGGACACCCCTCAAAATCCAGGTGGATAGGGGCATTCCTGTGCCCCAAGATGTTGGTCAGGGCAGCCAGGTCAGCAAAGGTCAGTGGGAAATTGTGGAAAGACAGGTGGCAGGGGAGACTTTGGGCCACGAGGCTGGCCAGCTCAGGCTCCTGGGTTTCTCCCACGCAGTGACAGAATGCTACCACCTTCGGCCCCGTGAGCCTGCGCGGGGCCAACTTCCTCAGGGCCTGCATCACCACAGCCTGCCTGGCACTCACCCACGTCTCATCCCGCCGGGCCACGTGGCTGAGGAAGGGTCGGCAGGCATGGGACGCCAGCCCTGCCAGGAAGGAGGGGAGGTGGTCCAAGAGGCCCGGCTTAGCTTTGGTCCGCAGCACCCAGCGAGAATTGAGGGTGACGTGGCCGGCAAGCGCATTTTTGTCCACCTTGGGGTTGACCATCAGGTACAAGGCAGCAAAAAACTCCTGTAGGCTGAGGTGGGCGAAGGCATAGCCGGTACCCTGGTGCCCAGGGCCCGTGCAGACGCAGAAGGAGGTCAACAGGCTGAGGGCAGCCCCGAAGGCCATCGTGGATGGACGGATGTCTCCTATGGAGAAGATAACCTTGCCGGTCTCCAGGCCCCTCAGGGCCACCTCACTGAGGTCCAGCAGGGACTCGGGAGGCGGGTAGCCTCGGGGGCCGAGGGTGGACACCATCTGCACGTAGTTCTGAGTCACAGTGGGCAGGAGGGCCGCAGACTGGCCTGGACAGCTGCGCGGGAGCAGACGGTGGAGGCACAGGCAGGTGACCTGGCAGAGCGCGGGCACTGCGCACATGCTCTGGAGGTGTCTGCTTTTCCGCAGCTCTGCCAGGGCCGCCTCCTGACACAGCTGGTCCGTGAAGAAGCGGACCATGTACTCCTCCACCCGCGGCCTGTCAAAGCCCCACATGTGGACCGTGGCTGCCTCTGTGGGCAGGCAGTCGGGCAGCTTCCCTGGACGGGAAGTGGTCAGTACCCAGCAGCCAGGCAGCAGGGTCCCCCGGCAGAGGCCAGAGAAGAGGGCAAGGGCCGGACTTGGCTCCTCAGGACCTTCCCTCTCCCTGCTGGAATGGGGGTGGAGGGCCTGGTCCAGCCCATCAAAGATCAGCAGAACTCCGTTAGCGTTCTCCTCCAGGTACTGGAAGACCGAGTCAGGGCCCGCCTCGGGGCTCAGGTACAGGTCAAAAAGGAGCTGGGGCAGCGTCAGGAGATGTGTGATCAGGTTGAGCTGGCGGAACTCGAAAAGGAACAGGGCCTGGAAGCGGTCCAGCTGGCCGTCGGCCCACCTCTGGCAGAGCCGGTGGGCCAGGGTGGTCTTGCCCATGCCCGCCTTGCCCAGGAGCACCGTCACCCTTGGGCCCTTGTCGGCCCTGGTGTTGAAGAGGTCCCGGATGCTCACATCAGTGCCGTCTTCTGCCTTGGGGTCCCCCAGGGTGGCCCCCTCCTGGGTGTTGAAGGGTGCCGTGGTCCGGCTCCACTGCAGGATCGGGGGGATGTAGGCCTGGTGGAAGGCAAGGGGTTGCCCTGGCCCCGGGATCCGGCTGCCATAGCGCCGCTGGGCGGAGGTCTTCAGCAGCTGCAGGTACCTCCTGGCCAGCTCTGCAGGGCACAGGGAGAGGCATGAGGGTGGGGGACCTCCCACCCCTAGATCCCCTCACCCCAGTACTGGCCGTTGGGAGCCTGCAGCCTCAGCTGTGTGTGCAAGGGGGTGGGGACTGGCAAGAACACACAATTCCTAGAAGGAACTCGTTCCACAGAAGCACTGGTTCTGGGGGCCATTTAAATGGGGAAGTCTGGCTGGGGGAGCGCAGATCACGGCTCTGTTTGTTTTGCAACAGTATAAATGCTGTAAAGTTGTCAGTGAGACGGCGGTGGGGGGGGGGGGCGGGGAGGTTCCTTTGCAACATCTTCTTAGAACAACTTCTTAACTGTGTATCTGAGTACCCTGTTCTCCTCCCAGTATTTCAGTTTTGTGACGCCCAGGGGTGAGTACTAACAACCTGTAGGCCTAGGCATTGGCCAATCAGAACTGGAGCTGGGCCCTTACTATGTCGGGCATTGACTTTCTAATTGCTGGATCCCTGGGAGAGCTTGGGTGGCCCAGAGGAAGAACCGGGGCCGCTGTCAGGGGATGCTGGGGACAGGTGGTTGAGAACAGGATTCTTCTGGACAACTGGTGGAGAATGAGAAAAATTCTGTCTTCTCTACTCCCTCCTGCCTGGCCGCTCCTCAGCAGCCCCCATGCCTTGTGGTGGCGGTGAGGGGTCTCCTTGGTATTCTGCCCATCTCTAAACTGGCCAGTGAGGGCCCAGGTCTGAGGTCATACTGGTCACCTCTGCTCTGCCCACCCAGGACCTCCAATCCATCTCTGTTGGAAGGAAGACAAGAGTCGCTGGGCTCCTGGAGGCTTATCAGCAGGGCACAGAGTCCAGGATCTGTGTCCTGGCCCCAAGGCAGGTCCTTATGTCTGGGTCCTTCCCAGCCTTGATACCCACCTAGCTGCTGCTTCTTGCACTGCTTCGGGCGGGGTGAGGACCCACAGCTCTGATAAGGCCGCTTGAGGCCTGGAAAGAATGAGAGAAGAGTAAAGTGTGAAGTTTGGGGGCCTGGGCTGAGGGGGCACCGAGCACCTTTGGGGAGCTCCAGGCCACAAACAGGCAGTAGGCAGACAAATGTCGCTGCACCCAGGGACTGAGTGAAGGCAGGCGGCGGGCAGAGGCTGCATCAATACCAGCTCTGTTTGCAGAAGTGGGTCCCAGGCCTGGGTGAGAGGCCCAGAGGCTCTGGGCTGGGGGATCTCCCAGTCCAGGATGTGGGGAGCTGGGCCCACAGCCAGCAGCCTCAGAAACACTCAGCCCAGAGCACTGAATGGCCTGGGATAGACCCAGGTCTGTCGAGGCTACTGCTGGTTAGAAAAGTGGACTTTCCAATGTGCTTGGCTGGGCCTGTGGCCTCCCTCTGGGGTCAGTGTGTTTTATCACCCTTATGTCACATCTCCCACACTTCCTCACTTCCCTTACTGGTTTCTCGAATTCTCGTCTGGTTGTGGATTGTCAAGAGTCACTTTAATGCCTTTCTGAAGACGTTGGAAAAGGAAGACAGGAAGAAGGAAAAAAAGAAGGAACGGGAGAGAGAAGGGAGGGGAGGAGGAAAGGCAAGAGGACTTAGGGAAGAACGTGAAGAAGTAAAGCGGGATACTCCCACAGCCAGGCATCGATGATGGGTCAGAGCAGCCCCTGAGCAGGCCCCTCGCCCTGCCAGGTGTGAGGTTTCTCGGTGCTGGACTGCAGGGTGACTGACAGATCCCAGAGAGGGACTAGAACCAGTTTGAGGGTATTTTAATGTTCTGTCAAGTCCTCTATCAATAAGGGGCCCACTGGCTAAATATCATTCAGGTCTGGTCACAGCCATGTGATAATTATGCCACCTCAATGACACGGGCCAGAAGGGACAGGACTGAACGGTTTTGATCTGCTGGGATTATGGGGTGGATGTTTTCTGTTAAAGCCTGTTGGATGTTACTGCCATGCACAGCTGTAAGTAAAAAGCCCATACTTCTATAGAAATAAAGGTTCTCAGTGCACAGCCATCGTCAGACACAATGGTGAAAGACAGAAAGCTTTCCCTTTAAGATCAGAAACAGGAGCCCGTCACGATCATCAGGTCATGATCCCAGGGTCCTGGGATTGAGCCTGCATCGGGCTCCTTGCTGACAGGGGGCCTGCTTCTCCCTCTCCCTCTGCCGCTTCCACTGCTTGTGGTCTCCTGCTCTCTCTCTGCCAAATAAATAAATAAAATCTTAAAAAAAAAAAAATCAGGAACAAGGCAACAATGACTGCTTCCACCACCTCTATGCAACACAGTAGTAGAAAGTCCTAGCCAGAGCAATTGGGCAAGAAAAAGAAATAAAAGGCATCTAAATTGGAAAGGAAGAAGTAAAACCTGTTTGCAGAAGATAGGGTCTTATATGTAGAAAACCTTAAAAACTCCATGAAAAGGTTCTTTAGAACTGATAAATGAATTCAGCAAAGTAGCAGGATACAAAGTCAACATACACAAATGAGCTGCGTTTCTACACACAATGAACAACTTAAAAGGGAAATTACGAAACCAATTCCATTTACGAAAGCACTGAAAGAATAAAATGCTTAAACATTAACCAAGAAGGTGGAAGACAGCTTCTTGAAATGAAAACTACAAAACATTGTTGAAAGAAATTAAAGAAGGTGTAAATAAATGCAAATGCATCCCAGGCACATGGCCTGGAAGACTTCAGATTGCTAAGATGGCAATCTTACCCCAAACAAGCTACAGATTCAACACAATTCCCATAAAATCCCAATGACCTTTTCTGCAGATATAGGAAAACCGATCCCAAAATTTGTGAGGCTGAAAAAATTCTAAAAAAAATCTTGAAAAAAGAACAAAGTTGGAGGACTCGCACTTCCTGATTTCAAAGCTTACTACAAAGCTACAGTAATCAAAACAGTGTGGCACTGGCATAAGGACAGATATACAGACTGATGGAATAGAATAGAGAGCCCAGAAAGAAAACTTCACATATACAGTCAAATAATTTTTAACGAGAGTGCCAAGTCCATTTAATGGAGAATGGACAATCTTTTAAAAAAATGGTGCTAGGAAAACTGGACGCCCACACACAAAAGAATGAATAAGGACCCTTATCTAACATCACATACAAAAATTAACTCAAAATGGATCAAGGACCTAGATATAAGACCTCTAACAATAAAACTCTTAGAAGAAAACATAGGGCAAAAGCTTCACGACACTGGATTTGGTAATGATTTCTTGGATATGGCGCCGAGGCACAGAGAACACAAGAAAAAACAGACAAAACGGCTTCATGAAAGTGAAAAACATTTTGTGCATCAAAAGACACTGTCCACGGAGTAAAAAGAGAACCTACAGAATGAGGGACATCTGCAAAACATAGATCTGAAAAGGGATTAATATCCAGAATATATAGAGAACCCCTAAACTCAACAACAGCAAAACAAACAAGGTGGTTAAAAAAAAATGGACAAAGAACTTGAAGAGACATATCTCCAAAGAAGGCATAAGAATGGGCAATAAGCACATGAAAGGTGCTCAGCACCACCAATCATTAGGGAAATGCAAATCAAAACTACAATAAGATCAATACCATCTCACACCCATCACAAGAGCTACCTACTATTAAAAAAACAAACAAACAGGAAACAACAAGTGTTGGTGAGGATATGGAGAAATCACAACCCTTGTGCGCTGTTGGTGGGAATGCAAAATGGCGCTGCGTATGTGAAAACAGTATGAAGCGCCTCAGAAAATTAAAAAAGAATTACCATATGACCTAGGATTCTAAAGATATACTCAAAAAGAACCGAAAGCAGGATTTTAAAGAAATATTTGTTCACCCATGTTCACAGCAGCATTATTCACAATAGCTAAATTATGGCAGCAATCCAAGAGTTTATCAATGGATGGATGGACAAGCCAAGGGTGATGTACACAGACAATGGAACTTTCGTCAGCCTCACAAAGGAAGGAAATCCTGACACCCGCTACAACATGGAGATACCTTAGGGACATAATGCCGAGTGAAATGAGCCCGTCACAAAATGATTCCACTTATAAAAGCTACTGAGAGTAGTCAAATCATAAAGACAGAACGTAAAATGGTGGTTCCCAGGGGCTAGGGGAGAGGAGACTGGGGAGCTATTGTTCAATGGGGACAGAGTTTCAGTTTTCCAAGATGAAAAGGGTTCTGGAGATGGATGGTGGTGATGGTCGCACAACAAGAGTGAATTTAATACCACTGAACTGTGCACTTAAAATGGTTAAGATAGGGGGCGCCTGGGTGGCTCAGTTGGTTAAGCGACTGCCTTCGGCTCAGGTCATGATCCTGGAGTCCCGGGACTGAGTCCCACATCAGGCTCCCTGCTCGGCGGGGAGTCTGCTTCTCCCTCTGACTCTCCCCCTCTCATGCTTTCTCTCTATCACTATCTCTCTCAATAAATAAATAAAAATCTTTAAAAAAAATGGTTAAGATAGGGGCGCCTGGGGGGCTCAGTCGGTTGGGCATCTGCCTTTGGCTCAGGTCATGATCTCAGGGTCCTGGGATCAAGCCCCACGTCAGGCTCCCTGCTCAGTGGGGAGTTTGCTTCTCCCTCTCCCCCTCTCCACCGCTTGGGTTCACTCTCTCTTTCAAATAAATAAATAACATCTTTAAAAAAATGGTTATGTGTATTTTTGCCACAATTAAAAAAAAAAAAGAAAAAGAATAAAGGTTCAGAGACTAGAGCGTGGCCCATGAATCATGAGGTGGTCACGACTTGATCGCTGACCTCTCTGTGTCCTATCTGAAAATCAGTCAGAGGTTGCCAGGGTGTGGACAGCAGTCCATGAGTCAGTATCAGGCCCCAGGGCATCTGAATGATGAGGGGCCTGAGTCTGTGGGTCTGGAGGACGAGGCCTGAGGGTTGGGGACAGGGTGAGAACACGCTAAAGTAGACGGGATTGAGGCACTGCCCAAGGGCTGCCAACTTTCCACTCACGCAGAAAGCTCCAGCTTAGATCTCTGGGAACAGGTATCAGGACAGACCAAAGCCTTCAGGGGCACAGAAGGGGAGGAGGTGGGGCTAGGAGCCATGCAGGGGGGCAGGGGATATGTACAGATGTGTTGGGGGATAAGGAGGCTGGTTTAAGGGAAATATCCATGCCCAGCCACCATCAGCCTCCTCTGGGCTCAAGGTAGAGACTTAGCATGCTCACCACCCCCCTCCTACTCCACACCCTCAGGCCTCACCATGGTGGAGCTGAGAGGTAGGCTGGCTTTCTTCACCAGCCTCCAGCTGGCTGGGGAACCCTGAAAGAGACGGGGGAATGTAAGAGGCTATGGGGATGTGGTAGGAGGCTCTGGGCCCAACTCTGGCCCCATGTCTGGCTCAGGGCTCATCCGTCAGGGCGGGTCCCCATCAGGAGAGAAAATAAGGTCGACACTCAGCCATCTGTGGAGGTCCCAACTGGGGAAAGCAGCTGTGAGCACAAATGTGTGCATATATGCAGGTCTGTACATGGACAGGTCTGTGCGTGCACGTCTGCATGTGCACGTGTGTTTAGGTGTGTGTGTACATGTATTTGTGCACAGGGGGGTGTGATTACACACACACATGTGCACTGTGAACCCCATGCATTCCCTACACTCTGCCCTGTGCTAGAGCTCTTGAGTGGGGTCTCACTTCCTCTCCAAGAACACTGTTACCCCTCAGCGTTCTGTTTCCCCATGACGCTGCGTAAGTAGAAGGTGCCAGGAAACATGCACGGAACTGAACAGAGTTCAACACACCTGCCCATCAGCAGGGGTCGGGGGGCTCTGCCCGTGGCTCTCCTGACCACGCTGCAGAAAGAAACCTCTAAGTATGATGGGGTCATTTGCAATTTCTTGGCTGGAAGGAGTCACTGGTCCTTTCTCTCCTTGTATCCAGCCTTCCTGGGCAACTAGGGTGAGGCCAGGTGGAAAGAAGGGGTCTTCCAGGTCCCTAGCCGATTTGGAGAAACTCAGGAATTTACTCTGGGAAGTACTCCGAAACACAGAATTTGGTTCCTGGCTTGACCATGTCATCTTTGTGTGACTCAGGTGGGTCCCAGCCTTCCCTGGGCCTCCCTGGCTACCCATGACAGGGGGGCCAGCTGGCTGCTCTGTGCCTCTCCCACCTGCCCTTACCGTCTCCGTGGCCCCAGGTGCTCAGCAGCGGCACCTCCAGGTCCAGCGGTACCTCCAGCTCCATGCACACGCAATGGATGAAAGCCTGCCAAGTGGCCTGGCCATGAGCGTGCAGTCTTCTGAGTTGTAGGATGACCCCCTCTGTGGCATCCTGGGCCTTGTCCCCGGAGCTCAGCTCCATCTCGGTGAGGAAGAACTTCATCTTGGCATTCAGCCATTCTGGGTCTTTGCTGAGCAGCCTCACAAGCCAGCTCCACAGGTGCTCAGTGCCCAGCTGGAGGCTAACGAGGTCCATGAGGAGCTGGCCCTGCAGGGACAGGGTGGGCAGGTGAGCTGGGGAGCAGAGAAGTTGGGAGACAGGTGAGCCGGGAGGCAGGTGAGTTGGAGGACAGGTGAGCTGCGGGGTAGGTGAGCAGGGGGACAAGTCAGCTGGTAGAAAGGCAAAGGGGTAGTCAAGAACTACCTCCCGCATCTGGGGGGAAGTAGATAGGCAGATAAGTGGTTTCTTTGTCTAGTCTCCCTGCCTGTGCCCAGGGATCAGTCCCAGAGAATAGTCTGCTTCTTTTGTACTCCTTAACTCCCTGCTTATTTGTGCCTGTGTCCTGGCTCTGGAAGGGTCCAGTTCATCCCCTGTGGATGGTCCCCTGAGAATGCTTTATTTTTTCTCATTTCCATGGACCTATTTGTGCTGCTCTCTATCTGAGCTAATCTCATAGCAGAGACAACTAGTTGTCCCCACAGCCCTAATCTGTTCTCCACTTCTTCCTTAGTATTGGAATTCCTGAATATTTCCTGGTCATCTGGAATAAGCTCTATTTCCCAGCCACCCTTGCAGCTAGAATAGGCCATCTTACTAAGTTTTGGCCAACGGGATAAAGGTAGAAGTGTTGTATATCCTTCTTTGCTTCCTCCTGTTGGTTGGGATGTCAAAGTGAATGGTTGCACCTTGGGCAGCCATGCTGGATCATGAGGTGGAAGCCAGTGCGGAAGAAGGCAATGGGGAAGGCGTTCCACCTGTCCTGAACTTCTCTGACATGACAAGGAAATACGTTTCTATTCAAAGCACTATTGCTTAGGGCTTTCTGCTACTTACAGTGAAATTAAACGCTAGCTAATACAAACTATCTCTCTCAGCAAATTTTCCCCTTCTAAACTGGCACTCTCAAACCACCTGCTGGTAGGAATACCAATATAAGGCAAGGGGTACTTACATAGCCAAGCTTAAAAAAAATTTTTTTAAGATTTTATTTATTTATTTGACAGAGAGAGAGACAGCGAGAGCCCGAACACAAGCAGGGGGAGTGGGAGAGGGAGAAGCAGGCCTCCTGCCGAGCAGGGAGCCTGACGCGGGTCTCAATCCCAGGACCCTGGGATCACGACCTGAGCCGAAGGCAGACGCTTAACGACTGAGCCACCCAGGCGCCCCAAAGCTTAAAAAAATTTTGAAAAAATTGATTCGGCAATTATTTTTCTAGCACTCTAGCCTTAGGAAATAATTATGGGTGTACATAAAAATTTTAATTACAAAGCTGTTTCACTGCAAGTTTAGTATAATAGATAAAAATTGGAAGCAACCTAAATGTCTAAAAATTGGGGATTTGTTAACTAACTGGTTAGTTACTCCAAATCTACTTTCTGGTATTATTTCCTTAAGAATAGTAGCAAACAGGGCGCCTGAGTGGCTCAGTTGGTTAAGCGACTGCCTTCGGCTCAGGTCACGATCCTGGAGTCCTGGGATCGAGTCCCGCATCGGGCTCCCTGCTCGGCGGGGAGCCTGCTTCTCCCTCTAACCCTCTTCCCTCTCGTGCTCTCTGTCTCTCATTCTCTCTGTCTCAAATAAATAAATAAAATCTTTAAAAAAAAAAAAAAAAAAGAATAGTAGCAAACACTTAGAAAGCACAGACTATGGGCGAGGCACTGTTCTAAGTGCTTTATGTGTCTCATATAATCCTCATGACTGCAGAGACCCCACTTCCAACTCTGAAAAGAGTGGGAGGCTCACCCAGGAAGAGCAGTCTTACCAACTCTCAGAGGCTGGGGTGCAGGACTGTATGTCCTGAGGTTCAGACTGCAGCTGCTTCCCTTGACTCCCAACAAAGGCATGTGTCCCCAAGCCCCTCTGGCCACACCTTGGCAACTGTACTCAAAGCAATAGCTCCTCGCTCAGCCACAGAGCTTTAGGATTCATGAAACATGCTCACATCCATGGGGTAGGCAGGGATCACCATCCCCACTGAAGAGATACGAAGACTAAGGCCGAGGCTGTACCCAAGGTCATACTGCAAGTCCATGGCAGAGCCAGGCTCAGAACTGAGATTCCTTGCCTGTCAGGTCAGTAAATTTCTGAGGCCCTGGAGCCCTAGATGGCACCAGACAAGGACTAAGTCCCTGGACTTGGTGTTATCTTGGTCAGAGGGTGTGGTTATGGCCTAGGGCACAGCTTCTTTTCCGGGCTGTGGTATTCAAAGTCCATGATGCCCATAAAGAAATCAGCCAGGACAGCAAGGTGTTAGGTGGAAGTGAGGACTGTCTAGGTGGTATAATTCTGGGGAAGTCCTTTGCCCTCAAATGTGTCCACCCTGTCAGTCTGACACAATGCCTTTGTTTCTGCCATTAATGCTCGGTCCCCTTGGGGTAAGGCATTACGCTCTTTAAGGATAACCATCCGTGGGAGAAAAAGCACATTACATTATTATTGGTCATTGAGGCTTCTACGGAAAAGAGCCTTGGAGACAGAGGATAATAGTAGAAAGATCCTCAGCGGGGCGCCTGGGTGGCTCAGTCGGTTAAGCGTCTGCCTTCGGCTCAGGTCATGATCCCAGGGTCCTGGGATCGAGCCCCACATGGGGCTCCCTGCTCAGCGGGGAGCCTGCTTCTCCCTCTCCCACTCCCCCTGCTTGTGTTCCCTCTCTCGCTGTGTCTCTCTCTGTCAAATAAATAAATAAAATCTTTAAAAAAAAAAAAAGAAAGAAAGATCCTCAGCCCCAGAGTTAGGAGACTAGCATTCCTGACCCAGCTTTGTACCTAATTCTCTGTGGTAGGCATTAGGGCTGTTCACAGATATTCTCTTTCTCCTCTTTCTGGACCTGTGGTCAGATGGCACTCTCCTGCCCCCTTGAAGTCAGGCATGGCCACAAAACTTGCTTTGGTCAATGAAATATGCTGAAGAATGACTTGTGACACGTCTGTGCAGAAGTTTTAAAAGCCAATGTGCAATTCACAGTGTTCTTTCTTTTCCTCTACCACAGGGACCGGCACTATTCCAGATCTTGGCTGCTCCTTTAGCCTGGGGCCAGCAAGAGGATGATGTGGACTAGAGGTCCTAGTTGACTGACAAGAGACAAGAAGTAGGAACAGAAATAAGCTTTTGTTGTCCTAAGCTACCAGGACATTGGTGGTTGTTATGAAACCATAAACTAGCCTATCCTAGCTGATACACTTATAGTCTGGCCTTGAGCAAGTCTATTCTCTAGCTAGGCTTCAGTCACACCATCTATAAAATGGGTAGACTGGATTCTGTCTCAAGGCTCTCCCTGATTTTCTGTGTCTGATGACCTTCACTCTCAAGCCGAATGGTGGCTAAGGGGAGGTTTGTTGTATGAGGGGCAGCCCAATGAGGTAAATCTGGATAGGGAACAGTCTGGTAGGGAGTAGGAGGGGAGTGAGGGAGTATGTGGGAGGGAAAGAGAGGAGGTAAAGGGTAGAGGTCACCTACTTGGCCTCCTGGTTCATCATAGATGTTCTAGGGTGTCCACGGAGATGGTCTCATGAGTACCTGAGCCAAGTCCTGTGCTCTGAGCTGGATTTGCAGGTTGTTTCCATAGAGTAGGTTCCTAAAGAGAGGACACAGGGCACTCTCCTCAATATTCCAAATCCCAAGAGGAATGTTGTAGGGAAGGCGCCAGCCCTTACCCTCCTCTCGAGAGACACTGGAGGCATTCAACCTAGAAGAGTCCTCTTGTCCTCACACACAGATCTTATTCTTCCCCAACCACATCTCCTTTAGTCCCTGGACAGTGCACAGCCCAATCCTGTCTGGTGTTACCTCCTGCCACACGTGGCCCAGAGGGAGCCCCTATTTCTCCTCCAACTTGGACATTTGCCTTCCAGTGACTTGTGGCATCCGAGTAGATCCTTGGAATCCAGCAGACTTTTGGCAGCTAATTCATTTGGATGAAAACAGAATAATCCTCACCACTGATGCCAACTTCCTTTCCCAGTAAAACTCCCAAAAAGGTAAGATTTGCAATCTTCTTTCTTACTACATTTGAAGAATTTTTGAGGCAGTTGAGAATAAACATTCTTCTTTATTTTTTTTTAAAGACTGTATTTATTTATTTGAGAGAGAGAGAGAGAGACAGAGAGCGTGAGAGAGCGAACATGAGCAGGGGGGATGGGCAGAGGGAGAGGGAGAAGCAGGTTCCCCGCTGAGCAGGGAGCCCACGTGGGACTCAATCTCACGACCCCAAGATCATGTCCTGAGCCGAAGGCAGATGTTCAACCGACTGAGCCACCCAGGCGCCCCAAGAATAAACATTCTTCTTAATGAGAAAACCCAGAGGCATTGATCACTGCCTCACCAAGAACACAGTGAAATGACACCCTGGTGCACGTGCCTAAGAGAGATGCCGTCTAACAATGCAGAATGGTCAAGAAGAACGGTGGCTGGAAAGTACGGGGAAGGAAGGAAGGAAGAAAGGCAAAAGATCAGCTGTGCACGGACTGTGTATCTATGAAGGGAGGGATGGAACCATGAAGTTCCAGAGCTTTAGATAAATCCACATAAACATGGAGCCTTCTAAACACAACAGAGGTTAACCACTGTCATTAGAAAGAAGAAAAGACAGGGGCTGGGTGGCTCAGTCGTTAAGCGTCTGCCTTCGGCTCAGGTTATGATCTCAGGGTCCTGGGATCGAGCCCCGCATCGGGCTCCCTGCTCGGCAGGAAGCCTGCTTCTCCCTCTCCCACTCCCCCTGCTTGTGTTCCCTCTCTCACTGTGTCTCTCTCTGTCAAATAAATAAAAAATCTTAAAAAAAAAACCCACAAAACTTTATGGAATGGTACTAAAAACAGAAAAAATTGGCCAAAGGAATGGAATGAAATTAGCTTCACACACACTTAAAACACATCCATTAATCAATGGTATTAAGAGAAGACATATGGAAAAACACATATAACACACATGGTAATACAAGTGTTTTAAATTTAAGGAATTATTTTTATTTTATTTTATTTTATTTTATTTATTTGACAGAGAGAGAGACAGCGAGAGCAGGAACACAAGCAGGGGAAGTGGGAGAGGGAGAAGCAGGCTTCCCGCTGAGCGAGGAGCCCGATGCGGGGCTGGATCCCAGGACCCCGGGATCATGACCTGAGCCGAAGGCAGATACCCAACGACTGAGCCACCCAGGTGCCCCAAGGAATTATTTTTTAATTTAGAATGAAAATGTTCTGTATGGAAAGCAGGTGGCATCTCACACTCCCACTGAAGGGCCATCATGAAGGAAAAGACAGTAAAAGCGTTGGTGAAGATGAGGAGAAATGGGAACTTTATATACTGGTGGTAAGGATGTGAAATAGAGCAGCCCCTTTGGAAAACAGTGTGGCAGGTCCTTAAAATGTTAACCACAGAGTGACCACAGAACCCAGCCATTCCACTCCCAGATTTCTCTCCAAGAGTAACGAAAATAGACATTCACGCAAAAATCTGTACACAGATGTTTGTTACCCACAACAGCCCAATAGTGAAAGCAATGCAAATGTCCAGAAGCTCATGAATGGAGAAGCAAAATATAGTCTATCTGTACAGTGGGATATTATTCAGCAATAAAAGGGAGCAAAGTACAGATACACACTACAGCAAGGACGAACCATAAAAATGTTATGCCAAGCAAAAGAGCTCCAAGGTCTATCATTGAGTAAATGCTTATTTGTGTGTATGTGTGTGTGTGTGTGTATTTGCATACACAGAGAACAACTCTAGGGCTACACAATAGACCAGGGACAGGATTTTGTCCAGGCAGGGGGTATGGGAGATCCAGGCAAAGGAGAACGCTCTACACCATGCTCTTTTTGTGTGTGTGTGTGTGTGTGTGTTAAGACAAAATTTATTTATTTATTTTTATTCTTATGTTAATCCCCATACATTACATCATTAGTTTTAGATGAAGTGTTCCATGATTCATTGTTTGTGCATAACACCCAGTGCTCCATGCAGAATGGGCCCTCCTCAATACCCACCACCAGGCTAACCCATCCTCCCACACCCCTCCCCTCTAGAACCCTGTTTGTTTTTCAGAGTCCATCGTCCCTCATGGTTCGTCTACCCCACTGATTTCCCCCGCTTCATTCTTCCCCTCCCGCTACCTTCTTCTTCTTTTTTTTTTCTTAACATATATTGCATTATTTGTTTCAGAGGTACAGATCTGAGATTCAACAGTCTTGCACAATTCACAGCGCTTACCAGAGCACATACCCTCCCCAGTGTCTATCACCCAGTGACCCCATCCCTCCCACCCCACCCCCCACTCCAGCAACCCTCAATTTGTTTCCTGCAATTAAGAATTCCTCATATCAGTGAGATCATATGATACATGTCTTTCTCTGTTTGACTTATTTCGCTCAACATAATACCCTCCAGTTCCATCCACGTCGTTGCAAATGGCAAGATCTCATTCCTTTTGATGGCTGCATAATATTTATTTTATATTTTTTTAAGATTTTATTTATTTATTTGACAGAGAGAGACAACGAGAGAGGGAACACAAGCAGGGGGAGTGGGGGAGGGAGAAGCAGGCTTCCCGCCGAGCAGGGAGCCCGATGCGGGGCTCGATCCCAGGACCCTGGGATCACGACCTGAGCCAAAGGCAGTCGCTTAACCAACTGAGCCACCCAGGTGCCCCTACATCCCAACTTCTTAATAGGCACATTTTTATTTTAAAAAATACATAAAGACATTTACATTAAAAACTAGAAGGGGCACCTGGGGCCTCAGTCTGTTAAGCATGCGACTCTTGATTTCAGCTCAGGTCATGATCTTGGGGTTGTGGGATCAAGCCCCGTGTCAGGCTCTGCACTCAGCGTAGAGTCTGTTTGGGATTCTCTCTCTCCTTCTCCCTCTGCCCCTCCCCCCTCTTGCTTTCTCTCTCTTCTAAAATAAATAAATAAAGTCTTAAAAAAAATTGAGTAGATGTTTTACCCCAATGTGTAAAGAAGATAAATCCATCGTGATAAATAAGCATAAGAAATGATCAGTGATGGCTCACAGAAATGGAAATTCCCTCCATAAGGTTACATAATAAAACTAAAATAGAAGTAAGAAGGCAATCAATAAGGATAAACACATACGTCAAGTATGACAGAGAGGCTAAAAATTCAAATCAAAAAGTAATTCATACCTATTGAAGACATTTTATTCTACTTTTTAGTTGAATGCCTGTGTGTGTGTTATGGGCACGAATGACATTTGCACTGGAAAACGAGCGAAGGGGGTGAACAGAAAGTGTAAAGAATATGGACTAGACGCCAGGCCAGGGCCTCTCGGCCTCCACTACTTCAGTTCTCACAACTCTATGTCTTGGATGCCCTGTACGCATTTAAAAATATCTAAGTCCCAAACAGCAATCCCGACCTCCCTCTCCCTGCCCAGACTTCTGCTTCCACCACCACCCTCCCCACGTCCCTGAAGGGCTGCCTTCTGCTTCCTGGAGCTCAGGCCGAGGAGGGCTAACTTTTTCCATGTGGACTGCAGACTCTCACTTCCTCCACGGCTGCCGCCTGAACCTGGCACCACCATTTCTCACGTGGGTCCTTTGCACCGGGAGACCTGGTACCTCTTCTGCCCACCCCAACGTCCTCCACGGAGGCTCAGAGTGTCCCTGTCAAGCTGTGGCCCATGGCAGGTGCCTCCATCTCGCAGAGCTCCCCCCGACCCCGAGTGAGAGCCAGAGTCCTTTCCAACGCTATCTGATGATTTGAACAGTTTTTAAAAAACCAAACATGACAACTTTATTTTATTTTTTAAGATTCTATTTATTTGACAGAGAGAGACAGAGCGAGAGAGGGAACACAAGCAGGGGGGAGAGGGAGAGGGAGAAGCAGGCTTCCCACTGAGCGGGGAGCCCGACGTGGGGCTCGATCCCAAGACCCTGGGATAATGACCTGAGCCGAAGGCAGACACTTAATGGACTGAGCCACCCAGGTGCCCCCAAATATGACAACTTTAAAATTTCGTTTGTCGCTTATTTTTATTAACTTTTGGTGTTTTATGTTCACAGTTGAGAAACTTGTTCATTTTGTCAAGAATGTTCAAACGTGAGGGGTGCCTGGGTGGCTCAGTTGGTTGAGTGTCCTACTCTTGGTTTTGGCTCAGGTCATGACCTTGGGGTCATGGGATGGGGCTCCGCACCAGACTCAGTGCTCAGCAGAGTCTGCCTGAGATTCTCTCTTTTCCTCTGCCTCTCCCCCAACATGCATACTCTCTCTCTCAAAAAAAAAAAAAAAAAAAAAAAATTCAAACAGTAGAGCACACAGTTGCATGTGATCTTTTCCTGTACTTAGAAATCTCATATCTTCGGGCGCCTGGGTGCCTCAGTTGGTTAAGCGACTGCCTTCGGCTCAGGTCATGATCCTGGAGTCCTGGGATCGAGTCCCGCATCAGGCTCCCTGCTCGGCAGGGAGTCTGCTTCTCCCTCTGACCCTCCTCCCTCTCATGCTCTCTCTCATTCTCTCTGTCTCAAATAAATAAATAAAATCTTTAAAAAAAAAAAAAAAAGAAATCTCATATCTTCACATTTAATTTATTTTGCTTCGTTTTTTTTCTCATTAGATTGGC